GCAAATGGATGTATCTATAAAACATCATATTGAGTGAGGTAACCCGGACCCAGAAAGACAAATATCATATGTGCTCACTCAAAAGTGGCTTTTAGACATAAAGCAATGAAAAACCAACCTACAGTCTACAACCTCAGAGAACCTAGGCAACAAAGAGAACATAATGGATCTAAACAGGAAGGAGAAAAAGACAAGATCTCCTGAGTAAATTGGGAGTGTGGCAGTCATGGGAGAGGGGAGGAAGAGAGGGGAGCAAAGAAAAATGTTTAGCGCAATAAAAACAATAAAAAAAATCTTGATATATGTGTTTCTGGCATATGGTAGTGGCTCGGAGACCTTCATAGTGATAACTGCTAATGAAGTGTTGGGGGAGGCTGCTTGTTCGTTTCCTGGCCACCCAGACTCCCAAAATAATCACACAGAAACTGTATTATTTGCAATACTGTTTGGCCAATAGCTTAAGCATATTGCTAGTTAGCTCTTACATCTAGAATTAATCCATTTCCATTATTTTATATTTTTCTATGAAGCTCATGGCTTACTGGCAAGATTCTAGCTGGCAGCTCACATCTTTCCCCTCTGGCGGCTCCATGGCATCTCCCTGACTCCACCTACTGCTGATCCAGACTTTTGCCTGAGAGGAAAGGCAGTAAGCACATGGGGACTTCAAAAATAATATAATTTTTGTGACTCCCAAAATGAATAATGGTTAAATTGCACCTAACACTCCAGGCTTTTGAGCTGTGCAATCCCAATAAAGCATCACCTGAATCAGAAGGCTTTCCCCCCCACACACAGTATTTTTTTAATGATAAAAGTTAAATTCTAAATTGGTATTGATTTTGTGGGCAGTAAGCGGGGTCTTGAAACAGCTCAGGGTAAAGAAAAGACTAGCTACGGAAGAGAGTCACAGGAAACTAGTCCTAGCCAAAAACAAATCTCTATTACACAAGGAAGGAGAAAATAATACCCTTTTATAGCAATCATGTTGAATCCTTCCTCGAACACCAAAACTAAACTCATTTCAAACCCTGTAGGACACAATAGTCATCTGGGATCAAATCAGAGAAACAGCACCATCTGCTGGTTGTGTGTGCTTCCTGCAAGTCCTGGGATTGCAATTTGGCTACCACAGGATCAAGACAAAGTTGCCCACACAGTGGAGTTGTGGGTCTTAACTGACCCCGGATGGAAACACAGCTGGACTTTATTTCTCCTTATTACACACACCCTGCTAAAGGGGGTGTAGAATATTTCCAGAACTTGAATTATGTTGGATCGGAGGCATTTATGTTTTAAACTCAGAGATTCAGTATTAATTAATGGGAACATGATTAAATATATTTACATTGTCACTTAAAAACAAGGGTACAAGTGTAAAACTATATAAAAGGTATATATGGTGGGAGGAGGGGGAGGGAAATGGGAGGCTGGGAGGAGGAGGAAACTTTTTTTTCCTTTTCTCAATAAAAAAAAAATAAAAGGTATATGTATGCAACTAGAAATGAATTCTATATTATAATTGCTATTCCTTCTGGCTTAGTCCTCGTGCTAGCCCTTAGTCCTATATTCCATGTGTAATATAGATTTTTTTTTCTAGAACTAGTTTCCTGTGGCTCTCTTCCATAGCTTAAGTATTCCGTTGCTGTGAAGAGTCACCATGACCAAGGCAACTCTTACTAAAAAAGCACTTAACTGGGGGCTGGCTCAGTTTGAGAGGTCAGTCCATTATCATCATGGCAGGGAGCATGGTAGCACAGGCAGGCATGGTGAGATAGTAGCTAAGAGTTACATCCTGATCCACAGGTGGGAATGCGGAGACATGGGCCTAGCATGGGCTTTCGAAACCTCACAGCCCAGCCCTACTGACACACTCCTGCAACAAGGCCACACCTCCTAGCCCTGTCCTAACAGCTCACGGGCTGGGGACTGAGCATGCGAATCTATGAGGCCAATCTCACTCAGACCACACTCTTACTACCTACTTATGACAGACTGAGAGAAGCCATGGAGTCAAAAAGAATCTGCGTTCTTCTGTGGTCTCGTTGTTGGTGGTAGTTTTTAAGGACTTTTATTGTGGATTATGGTTCCAGAGGGAGAGCCCATAAAATGGCAGGGAGGCATAGCAGTCGGGTCCCCAGAAACTGCAAACTTGAAGGAAATCTCCTTCAAGGCACTGGCTCCAGCCCTTGACCAGCCTTGCCAAGTCCACTCCTAGACAAAGACACAGAACTGAAGTTCCTTGTGTGCTTTTATGGGGACCCCTGAGAAAGTTATACTCCCCAAACAGTGCCAACAACTGGGCACCGAGTACTCAGGGACCTGAGCCTGTGGGGAACGCTCCTCATTCAAACCACCGCATTCCACCCCAGGTACCCAGAAGGGTCGTGGTCCCATCATAATGCAAAGTGCACTTAGCCCCACTTCAAAGGTCCCCATAGTCTTTCACTCTCAACACTGTTCAAAAGTCCCACATCTCTTAAGAAACAAAGCAATCCTTAGCTGCGTGTGATGAGCGTGGGCATGCATAGGGGTCAGCGCTTTCCTTAGCTGCATGTGATGAGCGTGGGCATGCATGGGGGTCAGTGCTTTCCTTCCACCTATCTGCGGGTCTTAGGCCTGCGTAGCAAGGGCCCTGACCTCTGAGACATCCCACAGTTCCTCTTTTGGTCTTTTTAAGTGTTGAACAAAGTTCTGTGCTCAGATATTGATTGACCTAGTATTTTAAAATGAAATCTTCTAAGCCAAGAACCCAACAGACCATTAACAATGAGAAGGACATCAGTCACTTAAGCTCTGAGCAGCTGTTGTGTGCCTCGGGTCACAGATGGCCCAGAGACTGAACAAGCATGGATAAAATGAAATCCTTGTCTTCAAGGAACTCAGTCGAGTGGGAAGAGGGCAAAGCAAGTCAGCAGTTAAGAGGGAAATGTGTTCAGTGCTTCACAGCAGAGTCGATGGCTAGGAGAAGAGAGAGTATGTTCTATAGATGCAGCCCAGATGTTAGCAGGGCCTCTCAACATCTGGGAGAAGTGAGTCTGAACCTGGTGTACCAAGGTCCAAAGTCTTTGTCTTCATTAGGGTTTTTATTGCTATAAAGAGACACCATGACCACAGCAACACTTATAAAGGAAAGCATTTCATTGGGGCTGGCTTACAGTTCAGAGGTTTAGTCCATTATTGTCACAACGAGAAGCATGGTGGTGTGCAGGCAGACATGGTGGTAGAGAAAGAGCTGAGAGTTCTACATTTTGATCTGCAGGCAGCACAAGCAACCGTGTCTTACACTGGGTGAATCTTGAGCACATGAGACCTCCAAGCCCGCCTCTACAGAGACACACTTCCTCCACCAAGGCTGCACCTCCCCGAGAGTTCCACTCCCTGTGGGCCAAGCACTCAAACACATGAATCTCTAAGGGCCAATCCTATTCAAACCATCACAATCTTCCTTGATTCTGAGAGTGTCTCTAGCAGCTCCATGGCTTCTCTCCAACTCTGCCTTCTTCCTCCCAGCATACAGCCTAGCTTTCCTTGCCTACCTATAGGTCCAAAGCAGTTTCTTTATTCATTAATGGTAATCACAGCACTCAGAGGGGCTTCCCACATCACCTCCCCTTTTCTGTTTAAATAAAAAGGAAGGTTTTAACTTTAACATAGTAGGTTTCAAACAAGAATTACAGTTACAATATTTATATATACTTTATCTTTTATCATAACTAATGAAAACTATAACTATAAGTTCTTCAACTCCATCAAAGACTTCAGAAGGATATGATATTACCTAAGTAAACAGGAAGTACATTGTCAGCAACTTCCAAAGCTCCAGAATTGACAAGACATCTCACTGCCTGGACAGTCACCCAAAGTTTTTCTGTACCGTTGGGGCATCCATCTTTCTTCTCTTGTTGGGGTTTCTGTCCAACCCAGTCCTACAGCCGTTCAGCCCCAAAGAAATCACACAGAAGTCTACATTAGTTATAAACTGATTGGCCCATTAGCTCAGGCTTCTTCAAGGCACTGAAAAAATTAAATTGAAGAGCATACTAGAAGACGGAAAGGCAGCCCATGTGTTGGTAGAATTAATATTGTAAAAATGCTTATATTACCTAAAGCAATCTGCAGATTAAATGAAATCTCATTAAAATCCAATGACATGCTTCACAGAACCAGGAGAAAGAATCTCAGTATATCTAGAAGCACAAAGGGCCCCAAACAGCTAAAGCTGTCCTCACCATAATAAATGATCTTCAAGCGTATTACACAACCACAGTAAAAACAACAGAACCACGGTGAACCAGACTGAAGATCAGACCCAGAAATAAACCTGTAGTTACAGCTTTCCAATTCTTTGGTAAAACTATCAAAACTGCAGAGAAAAGACAAGCTGTTTTAGCAATGGTGCTGGGGAAACTGGGTTTCCACGCACAAAATCTATTTAAGATCAAAACCTGGAGTTTGTAAACTGCTAAAGGAGAGCACAGACCCTTCATAACCGGGGCATGGGCAGGAGCTTCCTCCCCAGGAAACGCGTTTAGCAGCTCTAGGGCACGGCATGCGCTCAGCTCCCTGACACGAGCCCAGGTCTACAGCCCCGCTGGGCTCCTCCGCACGCGCTTTTCCCAGTTCTATGGCCCACTCCCATTCCTCGTGTGCCTTCCCTTCCTTAGTCTCCATTTCTAAAAGCACCAACGACAAAGCCCGCATGTGCAGCAGAGGACACCATCTTCAGAGAGAAGAGACAGCTTAAAGGAGGGAATCTTTGCCAACTTGTCATCAGGCAGTGAGTGTCCAGGATACACAAAGAACCACAAAAATTAAACAGCAAAAAGCCCTAAACCCCATCAGCAATGTGCTAATGAACTACACAGACATGGTGGAAAGTGTGCCCAGGGGAAGCGCACCAATGCCGGACTCACCATGGACGGATGAGACAGTGCATCACCAAAGTCTCACTGTCAACACTGAAGGATACACACGAGGAAACAAACAATTCAGCTTTTACTGTATTTAAATTGGCATATTTGAAACAAAGTTCACTGTTATAATTCAAATAATATATTATAATTCAAATAATTTTGCCAACTTTCAAAATTTTATGAAATTTTAAGGGTAGCAAAGGAACGTTACGAAGTAGTCCTTCATTGCACGGTAGGAGCCTGGTTGGTTACATTCTGAAAAAAGAATGATGCATTTTCCCTTATCCTTTCCAGAAATGGGTCTGTAAGATTTAAATTGTCTCCAGAAAAATGCTGCCACTGCTTCAGCTGCAACATGGACAAAGGTCTCAGGGAACGGGACTTCTGGTGCTGAGGGCCGAGCTGACACTGTCTGGAGGTGACAGGGGCGTCAAGTGCATCATCTGAAATAAGGGAACAACGAGACACCTTAGGACAGCATGTGCCCACCGCACAGTGGGTCATCTGATGTCACATCCAACCACACATTCAGCTAAAACAGTCACCCTGTTTACAAACACTGATAGGCAGTTACTGTGCACTCAGTGAGTACCCAGCCTCTGGCACACACCAAATGAATAATGTCACAAAGAAAGGCTCGTCAGTCCACAGTCTGTTATCTAAGCCCTATGGGAGAGAGTCGAAGGTGGAGTCACTTGTGAGCCCTGGGCTTCGGTACATAAGATCCTTGGTTCTATCTCTAGCACCAATAAATAAATGTCCAGCACCAATAAATAAATGTCTAAAAGGTCAGACAGGTTTATAAAAGCAAATCTGGGCCAGAACTTATTCATAAATGTTTGCAGCAGCAAGCACACTAAAAGACTGGAAAATGGATTGCTATGAGAAGGGTCATGAAACTGCTGAGGAACCCATCAAGTAAGAGTCTTTAGGATTTTTGTATTCTTTCTTATTACATGGTTTGTGGATCTGCACATGGGCATGTGCATGTGTGTGCAGGTCACACCCTACAGCTGGGATGACAGACAGCCGTGAGCCACCTAGGGACACTGATAAGTTCCCTGACACACTTGACTATATGAAAACAGTGTGTAAGTTATAAGTCTATAACTAATTACACATCTGTAGTGTGGCGGGTAAACTATGATATTTTCATATAACAGAGGATAACGCAGCTGAGGGGAAGGGACCCACCTTCACCCAGCATATTGCTATTTCTAAAAACTTACGGTGAGTTTATCATATTTACATCATTTACACACCTCCAACTGCTCTCACCCCACTCATCCCCTGGAAACTTACACATCTTCTACAATAACTACTGTCGCACACACACACAACCTGCTGAGTCCACTTAGTACAGCTCATGTGTACAGTGTTTAGGACTGAAAGAATATTTCAAAATAAATCATGAGTAAAGAAGAAATAACAATAGGTAATATGAAATATGTTAAACTGGATGATGAGAAGACTACACATTAAATTTATGGGGTTTGGCATAGAAGAAAATTTAAAGGGTTAAAAATCATTTTAGAAAATAAGTTTGAAAGTCAGTAAGCCATGCTGGGCAACATGAGCAGTGGTGGCATACAAATTTATCCAAGCACTCCAGAGGCAGAGGCAGGCAGATCTCTGAGTTCTAGGACAGCGGGGGGGGGGGGGGGTGAAGGAGGGGGAAGGGAGGGAGAGAGAGAGGAAAGAAAGAAAGAAAGAAAGAAAGAAAGAAAGAAAGAAAGGAAGGAAGAAAGAAAGAAATCATTAAGCCAAGAGTTCAACTGAAAAAAAGAGAAAAAGAGCATTACATTAAATATATTAAAACAGAAGCCCAAGCCTAGTAGATCAGGTCTAAATATCAATTGGGAAGCTGAGACAGCATTGCAAGTTCAAGGCTAGCCTTGGCAACTTGGTGAGATGATACTTCACAATAAAAACTAAAAAGGTTATTGATCTAGCTCAGAAAGAGAAGCTTTCCTAGCATCTGTGAGGTCCTGGGGTGAATCCCTAACTACCGTAACAAATATAAATAAGCAAACAAATACCAGGAAAAGACAGACATGGCAGTGCACACCTATAACCTTAGCACTTGGAAGATTGGGGCCAGAAGATGTTATATTCCAGGCTAGCCTGGGCTATAAGGGGGAATCTGAGGTTACCCCAGGCTATATAACAAGAACTTGACTTTTTTTTAATATTTATTTATTTATTATATATACAATATTCTGCCCATGTGTATGTCTGCAGGCCAGAAGAGGGCACCAGACCCCATTACAGATGGTTGTGAGCCACCATGTGGTTGCTGGGAATTGAACTCAGGACCTTTGGAAGAGCAGGCAACGCTCTTAACCGCTGAGCCATCTCTCCAGCCCAAGAACTTGACTTTTAAAAAAAAAGAAAAAGAAAAGAAAAGAAAAGGTTTTATGAAATAAACCAAAAAGAAAAAAGTACATAATAAGATCAAATGGCCATAAAGAGAAAAATGAAAACATTTATCTGAAGTTTTACATCTATCCCTAAGGCAGGAGGATCCCTGGAAAATAAAGGTCAGCCTGGTCTGCATAACAAACTTTAGATCAGCCAGAGCTACATAGTAAGACCCTGTCTCAAAACCTAAAACAGTAAAATAATCTACCTCCTAATAAATATATATCATTATAATTGAATTATAACTGAAGAATATATGAGGAGTACGGCCGCTTCTTCTGAGCGCCTCTTAAAATCTGGCCCCGTTATAAGCAAATCTTACATGACTTAAACAAACAATAGGTAATTCCACTAAGCACAGGATTTTTATGGCATTGTAATAAAATGTAAAATGTTTTCCTTACTCTGAAGCCACCCTACCAGGCATATTTGCTACCTAAGTTAATTTCTTCAACAACAGAGTCAGAGATGAAAGCAAGAGGAGAACAAAGTTCTATTGAACACTTCTCTAGCACCCGCCCCCCAGCCCCAGAGACAGGAAACCCTAAAGGTTTCCAGAGACAATCTGGCTGCCTGAGGAAACCAACACAACTCACCAGTGGGACCCTTTCCGCCTCCACACTCACAGCCAAGCAGGTCATGGGTCACACACGGTGAATCTTCGTGTAGCGTGAACAAGTCTTTAAGCTCCTCTACCGAGAACTGGATGTGTTCAGATGACCTGGTCAGGTCGACAACCGCCCCCGAGAGACCTTGCTTACTGATCTGCCTTTGGTAGATCTTTTCCTCGATTGTACCTGGGGAGCAAACACCCATGAGGTTCCTTTCTGGCATCTACTGTTTGTGACGGATAAAACAATCTACTACTTATTATCTGACGAAAGAATACATTCCAGATACCGAAGCACAAGCTAACAAAAGGAAAACTCTAAGGAGATACATCTTGTCACATGAAAGCTCTTTACCTGTAGTCAGGAGTCTGTAGATATGCACAGGGTGTTTCTGCCCATCTCGCCATACTCTGGACATAGCCTAGACAAAACAAGAGTTCTGAGTACAGCAGAAACTCATGGCCCTTGCACATGAGCAAATTTCAGGATTATATTTACCATACGGAAGTCTGAATTTCACTAAAGCTCAAAAAAAAAAAAAAAGGATGCCAGCATGCTCAACAGGTAAAAGCACCAGCTTGACAATCCCAGTTTGAGGCCCAGAACCTACAGTGTAAGGGAGAACAGCTCCTGCAGCTGTCCTCTGGCCTGCACAGACACCACTGCATGCATGCACTGTCCTCCGGCCTGCACATACACCATCGCATGCACTGTCCTCCGACCTGCACACACACACACACACACACACACACCATTGCATGTACTGGCCCTCTGTACATCTTCGCCCTGGGTTCAGCGAGGGAGGTTGAGCTTGCACGGAGGCATGTGAAGTAGCTACAGGAGTACCATGCAGCAGTGAGATGGGTATTCTGATAAAACATGGCAGCCAAGATGCAAAAAACCAAGTACAGCCTGGGCACGGCGGGACTAGGCGACTAATAATTCACCCTTGCAAATCCCAAAGGGCATCTGTGACCGCTTTGGGCTTTAGGTGCTGACAATGACACTGTGCAGTAAAGGGCTGGTGTTTAACCTTCTGCACTCCCCCAAAAATGGCTCTCGCTGAAGAGTGACGGCAACACGCATGGGGCCAAGAGATCTAGGCCCTCATGTCCTTAGTCCATGACGCCTGCTGCTGCGTTCCTCTCACTAACAATGAAGCGTGTGGCTGTCCCTCACCCTCACCAGGCACAGGACAACATCGGCAAGCTCAGCCATCAATCTCTACCACAAACTGTCTGCTGATATAAAGCTTACGAAAAAAATCCCTTAATTTGTGAGGTAAGATTTCAAAGAGTATCACCCCCAACACCAACAAACCAGAGGCCACTTAAAGAACCAAGAAAATGCCTGTTTTCTCTGTGACAGGCAGCCTGGATCCTGAAGTCAGGGTTATTCACTTTCCCTCAATTCTTTTCTCTCCTGCTGAAACTTAAGTCTGTAGTTAGTGCGGTTTTCATTTCTCCAAACATCCTTCAACTTCCCTTGTATGAAATATCACACTTCACGTGGTATGATCTGACTGACTCTGGAGGGACTGAATAAATCCATCAGACCGTCCTGGAGGCACGTCCACGTCCACAGAACCAATTCCCAGCAAAGACCCTGAACGGCAAACCTTGGTGCCTGCTCACCAGTGCCGTTCAGACAGCTCTGCCGGGAGGGATGCGCGGAGCGTATATCTGGTCCCTCGTGGACTCCTCATGCATCTGCTGATCTTCGTGTTCTTGTAAAACTGTAACTGTGAGTAAGCTGCCTCCTCAACCCTCTGAACTCAGGGCTGTCTTAGCATCCCATGATGAAAATACCAACTAGGAGAAAAATCTATATGCCGAAAACCTCAAAATACACCAAAGTAGACTGTGTGCTGAGGAAAACCTTGGTCTTCTTCAGTTTCCTAAAGTCAATGCTGCAGACTTACTGCAGTCTACACAAATGGCCCAAGGGTCACAAACACCCTGCAAGCCTGTTGCACAATGTGACATGAAGCCTGGTTGTGAACTCTCAGGTTGAATAACAAGCTTCCATTTCTTCATACAGAAAACATGGGCTTCATACATGCACACGTGGACATGTTGCGAGAATTAAGGAGATGGCAAACGGAGAACAGTCAGCAGGTGCCTGACACAAAAGAAGAGCCCCATACCCAACAACTATTTACGCATCACTTGATTTCCTAGGCATTCACAGTGTAGACTTGATGCATAAACATTCCTACCTGGATGTCAGTAGCTGGGTTCCAGTCAATATCATAGAGAATTAAGTGAGATCCTCCAATAAGATTAAGTCCCACACCACCAGCTTTGGAACTTAATAAAAAAATAAAATCAGTAGAGTATTTACTGTTGAAACGATCAACAATCTGCTGCCTTTGAGACACTGGTGTCTGGCCATCAAGTCTTGCACAAGCATATCCATGACGCCTGCATACATCTTCTAGAATATTCAGGGTTTGTCTGTAGTTGGACACCAAAACCACTCTGTCAACCAAAAACAAAACTTCGTTACATAACATTTTAAGGCAGTATTTTGTTCTTTTGTTTTTGAGTTAAAGGAAAATAGCAACACCAATATGACAGAAGGAGCAGCAATGGCAGACAGAGTTAGGAGCAGCTGTTAGCCACCGAGTTGTGTACAGGATGGACTCTTAACCACGAGCCATCTCCCTAGTTCCTGCCTTAAACCCTGCAGAGGCTCCTGGAAAGGAAGGAGCTCAGAGTATCAGGTACACAGAACCCTAGGTCTCACCTCCACGTGAGAGGGTGACCGGCAAAAGTAACCCAAGGCAGGGACTGCAGAGGCAGGGCACGGTGACAGTAACACGGGGCTGGTGCAGGGCTTACTTTTCAGTGGGACGAAGTTCATGGATGGCCGCCAGGAGCTTCCCCAGCACCTGCAGTTTCCCAGACTCGTTCTCAGAGAACTGGAGAGGGTCGTAGCCGGCCGGGAACACAGTCAGCAAGCCTTGGCATAGGTTCCTCTCTTCATTTTCTTCACTGCTTGAGCTACATTCTTTTCCCTGTTCAAATGGGAGTTAACACTGGCTCATGGCTGCTGCTTTATTAAGGAGGTAGCCCAGCTAACCGTGAGGTCAATCTTTCCAGGTCATAATTACCATTTTGGAAGCAGCCATGCCTCCCGCAAAGTTCTTGGCCCTTCCCAAACCCTGACCCCTCCTATCAATTCTTCTTACTCCCTATCACTGTCCCCTTTCCTCCCTATCACATTTTCCCTTGATTTGTAGGTGGCTCACAGCATCTGCCAGATGACAAACTCAAACAAGCACAACAGTTGCCTGAGCCATGAGTCATATCAGTTTCTTCATAAGAGCAATGACGTCACCGGGCGGTGGTGGCACATACCTTTAATCCCAGCACTCAGGAGGCAGAGACAGGCAGATCTCTGTGAGCTCGAGTTCAGCCTGGTCTGCAAGAGCTAATTCTAGGACAAGCACCAAAGCTACAGAGAAACCCTGCCTTAAAAAAAACAAAAAAAAGAAAAAAGAAAAGAAAAGGAAGGAAAGAAGGAAGGAAGGAAGGAAGGAAGGAAGAGAATGATGTCATCAATAAGCTAAAATTTTAAATTTTATCTTATAACACATTTTGCTTATAATCCCAGGATTTGGGGTGGGGGTATGCTGATATTGAACCCAGGACTCTATTTTACTAATAGACTCTGGTTACTTTATTCCAAGCACCTCTGAAATTCTTCCCTAAAGATGTCTGGTTGGCACAGAAACACACAAGACGAGATGAAAGTGACTCAATGACAATCCCCTTTAGGCTAAATGCTCAGGGGTGGCAGGTCTCCTCCCCCTTCCTCTGAAACCGTGTTCAGACCGCACCTCTGTCTGCCTGGAAAGCTTCCTCTCTCTGCTGTTATCGCAATTCTACAGAAGGCCGTGTGCTGACTCAGAGCCCTTTCTTCTCTCAGGGTCTCAGCTTACAGACCGTCTGGCCTGCAACTCCCTAAGTAGACAGAACTTAGAGATTAAAGACGTGGCTGCCAGGCCTGCCCAGTCCTTTTCCCACACTGGTCCATCCTGGACCTTATTTCACTGAGTAATTGCTACACACATGTTTAACTCCCCTTATGCCCATGCATGCTATACCCTAATTTTTGTACTAGACAAATCTTTCTGGGCATATTTAATTGTAATTTGACTATTCACACATGCACCCAAAATATACTTAGGTCAAGTCATTTGACTGAATATCTATACTACTTGAAGAACTTATATCAGGTTAGATCTACATAAGATGCCTATAATCTGAAGAGGTCTTGACCCAGGGTTTAGTTTAAATATTTGAATATGGTTACACCATAAAAAGTTTGTACGGGGTAGACACACACATTTATATACCACATACACACACACACACACACACACACACACAGAATATGCAAAAACTTTCTAAATTAAGTAATATATTCTAAGCCATCATAATTTCTTCCTTTTAAGGAAAAGTTTTTGGCTTCTATTCTTACCTGGGCATCAGGCCCAAACAATTTCATGTTTACCACTGTATATAGAATCTGTTTCTTAAAATTTGCTTAATAAATTATTATAACCCAGCCTTCTGCAGAATTACCTAAAGCTCACTTCTATGACAAATTAAGGAAATAGGACCCCCATAGGATGAACATGGAAAATTCTGTGAGAACACTCCATTTTTTAAGTATATAATTAATGATCTCATATATAAGTTAGTGCCCAAAGTATTGTTTAGAAAGGTTTTTATTGGGGAACATATTTTGAGTTACTGTATAAAGAACTGAATAAAAGTTTTCCTGGGTGAGATGGAAATATCATTAGTGATTACTGTACAACTTCTTTAACCAGGCGTTCTGCTAGGTTCTTCCTATGATTTCTTGTTAAAATGTCACAATGAGCTAATTATTAGCTCCGCATTCCAGATAAGAAAACCAATGCTCACAGATACAACTTAAGTCCCAAATTTGCCAAAGTTCCAAAGGAAGAGCAGGGAGCAGTGGTGCATGGCCATCACCCAGCTGCTGGGAAACAAAGGCTATCAGAGCCAGGATCTAGGGTCCTGCTCAGCTACACATGAAATCAAGGCCAACCTGAGCTGCAGGAGATGCTCTCAGAGCAAAAGAACTACGGGTATAACTGTAAGGGACCAGCCCTAATCTCCGAAATCCTTGCCATGCTGCAGACTGCCTTACAGTCATTAAATATGCAAACAGTTGGCTCAACTACATCATCATCCAAATTCACACCTATAAAAGGAATCTAATCTGGGAAATGTTCTAGAATAAGATTATACATAAATATCTCTGAGTGCCTGTTTTCCTTTTCTCTGTGGAAAACTGGCCATACTGGAATAGGGACGGGAGCTGAGCACAGTAGCAGGTGCTTCTGGGCCCGGCCATTCCGCCGGCTGAAGCGGGAGAGTCACTAGGGTCTCTGATACAATGCCAGCCATGGCTAAACAGCAGCCACTGTGCCAGCTGAAGTGGGAGAATCACTAGGGCCTGGGATGCAATGCCAGCCTTGGCTAAACAGCAAGAAAATCCCCTTAACAGAAAAGGGAAGACAGTAAGCATTTATTCCAAATAGTTATGAAGAATAAACAAAATAAAACCAGAAGAGCAGTTTATTCTCGGTATTAACAACTATCAGCTAGTACTATTAATAATACCAAAATGTGGTTTTCTCAGGGTGGAGAGTATAACATTATTTTTGTTTTGTTTATGTTCTGCAATAGAGTCTTACTCTGTAGCCCAGGCTGATCCCAAAATCAAAGCAATCCTCCTGCCTCTGCCTCCCACATTGTGTGTATTACAGGTGTGCACACCATACCAATTTTGTTTATTTTCTTTTTGTGAATTTTCTGAATTTTCCAAATTTTATGTAAAAGTCATGTCTTACTTTTATAAAAAGAAAAATAAATTATTTTAATAGTTAAGTTCAGTATTTGTTAGTATCACACAAAACCTACGAAAGGCAAGACCGTGGCAAAGGCTGAGACACAGGAGCGGCTACTGAGCATATGAAACCTTCACAAATGCCAGGGCTGAGCACAGTCGGCCTCCTGGCACTCCCATGCCACACTGCCCTCATCTCAGGCCTGCGTTTCCATGCATATGACATACCTTTACAGGGCGGAACAAAAGGCAAGGGTGATTGCACAGTTTCTTTAGGGCCCCTATGCAGACGAGGTGATTTTCTGACAGTCCTTGGAGACAGAACCTGATGGACTGAGAGCTCAGCAGCTCCCGGTAGAGTTCAACCTGAAGTGCCCCTGGGCGGCAAAAGACAACGCTCTCTATCTTAGGGGGAAGGTACTTATTGATGACTTCCTGAGTTCTTCTGAGGATAAAAAGGCCAGTGAGGCCAGTGAGTTCAGCTGCTCTTCTCTCTCCTAACTCTTTTTCTTCCTGTGGGGAAAAAAGAGCAGACTTAAAAAGTGGTATGCAAAAAAATGCCTGTTGTTATGGTTAAAGTGAGCATTAAATATTATATAATGTTAAACCAGATCAATTATTTCCATCACATTTTATGGGGAGAAAAGGGTGGCTTTTGAGACAAAGTCCACTACATAGCTGAGGCTAGCCTGAGACTCCCCGCATAGCACAGATTTCCGGCCCTACCTCCAGAGTACTGAGATTACAAGCCACATGGGACCTTCCTCCCCCAGAAATGAAATGCAGGTACGGGACAGAAAGCGCAACCACCATAGTGGTAGTCTAATCAATAGCAGAATATACGCAGGGCCCTCTGTTTAAGTACTAGCCCTGGAGGAAACCAAGCAAAAACCCATCACAATCTTTCAAAAATATATACCTTTTATTAATTCTTTGAGACTTTCACACACACATACGGTGTATTTTTATCATATTCTTCTCCCCCTACTCCTCTCTCCATCTCCTCCCAGATGAACCCCAAGTCCTCATAGCTCCCAACTTCCTAAACGTTTTTTATGAACCACTGTGGAGGCAGGAATACGAATGGCCGCTGAAGGCTTAGTATTTAAATGTTTAGTCGCCGGGGGTGGCACTATTTGAAAGGGTTAAAGGTTAGGAGGTGTGGCCTTGTTGGAGGAAATGGTCACGGGGATCAGCTTTGAGGTTTTAAAAGTCCACACTAGGCCCAGTGTCTGTCTGTCTCTCTCTCTGTCTCTGTCTCTCTCTGTCTCTGTCTCTCTCTGTCTCTCTGTCTGTCTGTCCTCTCTCTCTCTGACTCTGTCTCTCTCTCTGTCTCTGTCTCTCTCTGTCTCTGTCTGTCTCTGTCTGTCTGTCCTCTCTGCCTCTCTCTCTCTGTCTCTCTTTCTCTGTCTCTCTCTCTCTCTGTCCTCTCTCTGTGTGTGTGTGTCTCTCTCTGTCTCTCTGTCTCTCTCTCTGTCTCTCTCTGTCCTCTCTCTCTCTCCCCTCCCCCCCCACCTGTGGATAAGGATGCAGCTCTCATCTTCTCCAATACCATGACTGTCATGCCTGATGCCATGCTCCTGATTTGATATGATGATAATGACTAAGCCTCTGAAACTGTAAGGCAGCCCCCAATTAAATGTTGTCTTTTATAAGAACTGCCATGGTCAGGGCTGGAGAGATGGTTCAGAGGTTAAGAGCATTGCCTGCTCTTCCAAAGGTCCTGAGTTCAATTCCCAGTAACCACATGGTGGCTCACAACCATGTGTAATAGGGTCTGGTGCCCTCTTCTGGACTGCAGGCATACACACAGACAGAATATTGTATACAAAATAAACAAACAAACAAACTGCCATGGTCATAGTGTGCTTCATAGCAACAGAACAGTGGCTAAGCACCCACCAACTTCAGTTTTCTATCCACATACTCATTTTTGTGGGCCATCTACTGGAGCATGGTGGACTTGCTAGAGGCCACATTCTTAAAGGAAACTGACTGTTGCTCTCCCAGAAGCCACCAACTGTCATTAGCTTCTCAGCTAGAAGTGGAGGCTCAAGGGCCCCTCCAAAATGGAATCTGACCGAACTGATCTTGGATAGAAACCAAGGCTGCTGTAGCCACTGGCACAACAGTGTTTTGCTCTGATCCTCTCTGGCATCTGGCTCCTATGCTCTTCCCATTCTCTCTTCTGCAACAGTTCTTGAGCCTTGCAGGGGGCTGTGTGATATAAACGTCCCATTTGTGACTGAGTACTCCACAGACATGTATTCTTTGAACTCTCACCAGCTGTGAGTTTCTGTGTTAATTACTAGCCACTGTACAAATAAACTTCTCTGAGGATTGGGAGCTGTACTAATCTACGGTATAAAGATAAGAGCAGAAGAAAGGTACTCACTCATAAGTGATTCTTAAACATAAAGCAAAGAAAACCAGCCTATAAATCACAATCCCGGAGAACCTAGACAGCAAAGAGGACCCTAAGAGAGACATACATGGATCTAATCTACAGGCGAAGTAGAAAAAGACAAGATCTCCTGAGTAAATTGGGAGCATGGGGACCATGAGAGAAGGTTGAAAGGAAGGGGAGAGGCAGGGAGGGGAGCAGAGTAAAATGTGGAGCTCAATAAAATCAATTTAAAAGAAAAGAAAAGAAAAAAAGAACAGAAGAAAGTTAGATACTATGTCCACTTAGCAGAATAACACTTGGAGTCTCTGAGCTCCCAAGGAGAGGCTCTTGGCCCCATTTACAATGCCAGGCATGTATTTCCTCCTGTAGAACAGGCCTTACATCAGCAAGCACCCGGTAACTGCTGCCAGGTCTATGCTGCTCCTGCATCCATGAGATCCTGCGCACCAGTTGTTACTGTAACCACAGGAATCACAACAAATAAGACTTTTGACTCTTCCTCTCCCAGGAGTCTGCACAGAACCTTTCAGTACAAGGAAAGCTTCCTGGTCAGGGACAACTCCATTTCTCCATGTCCTGTGATCAAAGAGTGTGGTCTTATCCTAGACATAGGGTCTTAACATCAAGTTCTGATGGACAACCAAGAGCAATAGCAATAACCAATATTTGGGGGGGATTTCCAGACACCTTTGACCAACAACTCATGAGGAAACATCTCAGAAAGATGATACCAGTCTCTCTTACACACTCTAGGCTTATGAAAGGGAGCTTTATACACTGTTTATGACAATTATGCTCGTGTGTGTGTGATATAGAATATATCATTAAGCCTTCATATGACAGTTGTATGATACACATCTTTAAAATCATCAGCAAGAAGCCGGGCGATGGTGGCGCACGCCTTTAATCCCAGCACTCGGGAGGCAGAGGTAGGCGGATCTCTGTGAGTTCGAGACCAGCCTGGTCTACAGAGCTAGTTCCAGGACAGGCTCCAAAGCCACAGAGAAACCCTGTCTCGAAAAACCAAAAAAAAAAAAAAAAAAAAAAAAAAAAAAAAAAAAAAAATCATCAGCAAGAATGGACGGAAATAGAAAACACTATCCTGAGTGAGGTAAGCCAGACCCAAAAAGAGGAACATGGGATGTACTCACTCATATTTGGTTTCTAGCCATAAATAAAGGACATTGAGCCTATAATTCATGATCCTAGAGAAGCTAAATAAGAAGGTGAACCCAAAGAAAAACATATAGGCATCCTCCTGATGAAAGGCGATGAAAGGAGACAGAGACAGAGACCCACATGGGAGCACGGGACAGAAATCTCAAGGTCCAAATCAGGAGCAGAAAGAGAGAACACGAGCAAGGAACTCAGGACCGCGAGGGGTGCACCCACACACTGAGACAATGGGGATGTTCTATCGGGAACTCACCAAGGCCACCTGGCCTGGGTCTGAAAAAGCATGGGATAAAACCGGACTCGCTGAACATAGTGGACAATGAGGACTACTGAGAACTCAAGATCAATGGCAATGGGTTTTTGATCCTACTGCACGTACTGGCTTTGTGGGAGCCTAGGCAGTTTGGATGCTCACCTTACTAGACCTGGATGGAGGTGGGTGGTCCTTGGACTTCCCACAGGGCAGGGAACCCTGATTGCTCTTCGGGCTGACGAGGGAGGGGGACTTGGTTGGGGGAGGGGGAGGGAAATGGGAGGCGGTGGCAGGGAGGCAGAAATCTTTAATAAATAAATAAATAACAAAAAAAAATCATCAGCAAGGCTCAGGGAACTTCTCACAAGACCAGGGAGAAAGACTGTCAGCTTGAGGTGGGGACAGCAGAACGAGCCAGTGTCTTCTGGGCCTGACAGGGCCACCGCACCCATGGACTCCATGGGCTCACAGCAGCCGGGCTGCGGAGTACACATAAGGGCTGCACTCATGGTCTGTGGGAGGGGACCCAAGCCCCAGCTGGGCTGCAGAGAACACATAAGGGCTGTGCTCATGGTCTGTGGGAGGGGACCCAAGCCCCAGCTGTGCTGCAGAGAACACATAAGGGCTGTGCTCATGGACTCAGAGAAGGGCATGGGGCCATCAATCCACAAGGGATTGGCAGGGCAACAGTGTGTAGTGATATGAATGAAATACATTGTATGCAGGTATGAAATTCTGAAAGAATAAATGAATTTAATTTACTAGCACAGGAGACTGTTGAAACTTTCAAAATCATTATACACTGTTCATTACATAAATGTATATTTTAAGTCAAAACATAATATTAATAAAATATATGCTTAAATTCTTTTTTTTTTTTTAAGAGACGGGGTCTCGCTATGTTGCCCAGGCTGGAGTGCAGTGGCTATTCACAGGCGCGATCCCACTACTGATCAGCACGGGAGTTTTGACCTGCTCCGTTTCCGACCTGGGCCGGTTCACCCCTCCTTAGGCAACCTGGTGGTCCCCTGCTCCCAGGAGGTCACCATATTGATGCCGAACTTAGTGCGGACACCTGATCGGCATAGCACACTACAGCCCAGAACTCCTGGACTCAAGCAATCCTCCTGTCTCAGCCTCCCGAGTAGCTGGGACTACAGGCGTGTGCCACCGCGCCCGGCTTAAATTCTCTATAGAATCCCTTGAGCATACAAAAACTTGACAGAGAAGTTTAAACATATCCTTCATATAAATATTTATTCCCATATATAAATACTCTCCTTACATTTTAAGAGTTTAAATTTTGTTACAAATGTAATAAAGCTTTTAAAGAAAAGATAGAAACTATAGCTCTATACAGAACTATCAGAAACCTAAAGTCTATTTTAATCAAGCAGAAACAGCTACTTTGAGCTGGTGAGATAGCTCAGCAGGTACAGAACACTGACTCGTGTATAATCCCAGGAACCCATCGTCCTCTGAGCACACACGTGCTGTAGCATGCATGCTGCACACAACACAGGAAAACTCCTGAACGCGTCCTCTGAGCACACACGTCTGTAGCATGCATGCTGCACACAATGCAGGAAAACTCCTGAACGCGTCCTCTGAGCACACACGTCTGTAGCATAACTGTTTTGCTATATGTAATTTTACTATGTTAAAGTTAAAGCCTTACTTTTTTTGTTTAAACAGAAAAAGGGGAAGTGATGTGGGAGTGTCATATATCAATCTGTTGATTTCATTGGTTAAGCAAATAAAGAAACTGCTAGGCCCATTTGATAGGCCCACCCTTAGGTGGGTGGAGTAAACAGAACGGAAGGCTGGGAGAAAGAAGCTGAGTCAGAGAGTTGCCATGATTCTCCCACTCCAGGCAGACGCACGTGAAGATCATTCCTGGTAAGCCAGCTCGTGGGCTACAGCAGATTATTAGAAATGGGCTAGTCTTGCCGGGCGATGGTGGCGCACGCCTTTAATCCCAGCACTCGGGAGGCAGAGGCAGGCGGATCTCTGGGAGTTCGAGACCAGCCTGGTCTACAAGAGCTAATTCCAGGACAGGCTCCAAAGCCACAGAGAAACCCTGTCTCGAAAAAAACCAAAAAAAAAAAAAAAAAAAAAAAAGAAATGGGCTAGTCCAGGTGCGAGAGCTAGCCTAGAAGAGGCTAGATAGAAATGGGCCAAGCGTTGTTTAAAAGAATACAGTTTCCGTGTAATTATTTCAGAGCATAACCTAGAGCTAGCCATGTGGGCGGCCGGGTGCTGGGGACGCAGCCCCGCTGCTCCAACTACAACAGCAGGAAAACTCCTGAACGCGTCCTCTGAGCACACACGTCTGTAGCATGCATGCTGCACACAACACAGGAAAACCTCAAGCTACTGGAATGAAGTTTGGTGCAAAGAGGGAAGATTCGTTCTGGCTCATCTTGGATCCTCCAGTGTGTACCTCTTAGCCTTTGATCTACTTGCAGTGTTTAAAGTGTGTGTTATATTAGGCTGGGTGTGGTGGCACTTGCCTTTGATCCCAGCACTTAATAGACCCAGCAGATGGACAACCTGGTCTAGACAGTGAATTCCAGGCCAGTCTGGCCTAGATAAAAAAATCCTGTCTCAAAAGCAAAATCAATAAGTAACTAACACTATTCTTATATACTATACCATGAACATTTTCCATGTAATTATTAAATATTCACATAAGTCATTATTTTACACTAATTCTGAATTGTGTAAAATGCTTAATAAAATATATGCTGACAGATTACCTTTATAATTTAACTTCTCTAGAACAAGATGTAGCACTGGAGATGCTGATCAATTTTTAGACTGCTTCCTAGCATATAAGAAGCCTTCGGTTTGATCCACTTCACATCAGATAAAACTGTATTTGGTAGATCAGGTCAAAGTCAGGAGACTTTCACCAAAAACAAATAACAAAGTAGGGTTTAGTGTTGTGCGTTGGATGAGGTGGGGTGGGGAGCACTGGGGTGTAGTTTTTTGGACACAGGATCTCACAATGTAGCCCTGGCTATCCTGAATTCACTATGTGGACCAGAATTGCCTCAAACTCACAGCAATCCTCCTGCCTCTGCCTCCCTGAGTGCTGGGATTAAAGGCATGTGCCACTACATCTGGCAGAATGTGTGTGTGTGTGGGGGGGAGAGAGAGAGAGAGAGAGAGTGTGTGTGTGTGTGCACTCACATGTGTGTCTTAAATAGAGTCATACTTTGTACCCCAGACTGTCCTAGATTCCAGAAGTCCCGCCTCAGCACCTAGGATACTTTTTAACAATCAATGTTTTCTTTACAATTTTAGTGATGCTCTCTTTAATAATACACAGAACAGTGGTATCGATTATTACTAGAAGTACCTTAGATTTAATAAAATACAGTATGTAAGTGAATACCAAAATTATGATTCTTCCAGATATACTGCATTTTAAAAAAATCATTAAAGTGAATTATACCTTGGAAGAAGAGGGCTCTCTGGACATAATGATGGGCTCCTCATATATTTTCCTGTAGGACGACAAGGGGCCTAATATTCCTGGATTAACAAAGTCCACTAATGCAAAGAACTCTTGCAAGTCATTCTGCACGGGGGTACCTAGGGAGAGGAAAAGTGATGAGAGGTTAGAGTTGTCTTGTATCACAGGTTTCTGAAGAAATTCGTGCCTTCTTCCCTGACAGCAATAAATATAAACAAACACCCTAAAACTCAGGAAGAACAGCAAAATCAAAGCTTCAAATATCAATAGTCGTGTGAATTTTTACATGTAGTTTTAGCAGAGTGTCTGGGGACAGGCTGTGGAGTCTGGCTGCTGGTGTTTTGAACCCACCTTCCCCTTGAGTACCCTGAACAGGATGTTTACAAATTCATCACCTGGAGGGAGGGGGAGTTGATTGGGGGAGGGGGAGGGAAATGGGAGGCGGTGGCGGGGAGGAGGCAGAAATCTTTAATAAATAAATTAATTAATTAAAAAAAAGAAAAAGCAAACACACACAAAAAAAAGAAAGAAAGAAAAGAATTTGTTATAGAAAAAACCTGCAGCTTCTTAATTAAATTTCCCTTTATTTTGACTACTAGAAATTTAAAGAAAGTTCATGTGGATTTTTAAACCTAAAGGTAAACATATTTACAGGACTTAGTGATACTTTTTTGCTGCATGGTTTTAGGACACTCATTTTTCCCAAAATAGTAATATATTTCAAGTTATTATCTGTGTCTGTATGTAGAAGTTTTAAAAATCTACAGTAAAACATCTAGGATAATTATTTTATAGGATTATAAATTATATATTTAAATTTATATGTTGTATTTTTTATAGTATTATATGATAATGTTATAATATTAACATCAGGGCCACTTAGGCATTTTTCAAAAGTGCTCATGTAATGGTTGGCAGAACTCAAACTATTTATAAATACCCAATGTTCTGATTCTTTGAGATTAAAACATTATATAATCGAATCTTTATACTTTCCTCAATTAGATCTTCTCTGTACCTAATATATAGATGTTGTTAAAAGATGGCTGAATTTTGAAGAAAATCTGCTTTAATTAACTCATTCTTTTTATTAAATATGGCTTTGTGGAGCAGCACAAAAAAAAACAACAAAAAAAAACAAACAAATTCATCACCTGGCTAAGGGTCAGAGCAGTCAACTCACATAAACAGCTAAGTACTGGGCGGCTAGTCTTGACAACTCTGGTTGACCTAGAACTCAGTGTGTAGAGAAGGCTCGCCTTGAATTCAGGAGCCATCCTGACTGTCTTCCAAACGCTTGGGTCATGGGAACCCAGTGTCACCCCCTAGCTCAAAGTCACTTTTACAGCATAGTTTTAAATATCGCCACTAGTAATGGCTAATACTAGCCCAAGAACCGAATTGTTTAAAAATGTGTTACCCCAACTTGCTACAAAAAGGAGGCGGAGTTGGCCCTTCTCTGTGGCTATGGGATACTTATATCTGTGAGAAGACTTAGAAAAGGAACAAGCGGCTATTTATAGTCCTTCCCTCTTCCAGTTACAGCTTCACAGGGGCTCTGGCATGCATAAAAGACACACGGAGGACAAGATCACACAGATATCACACCCACAGTTCATTCCAGAAGCATCCAATCCAGTAGGGAATGTGGGGTGGAGGGATGGCTCTTTCAGAGAACCTGGATTCAGTCCCCAGCACCATGGCAGCTCCCAGCCAACAGAAACTTCAGTTCCAGGACACTGATACCCCCTCCTGGCTTCCATGTCCACATACACACACAGCATACATTCACAGAGATATACATATACATGGAAATAAAAATTTTTAAGCGTAAAATGCTAGGGCGTGGAACCTTGAGCAGAAAATGGAGAGACTGGTAAGCACTATTAGAAGAACTTCCTTCCTTCCCCTGCCAGAACAGCAGACTGAAGAATGGCGACGTGGAAAGCAAGTATGAGAGGGAAGTTACTTATCAGACTTTAAGTTAGGCCTAAGCTGAAAGCACAAGACGGAAGGAGACTTTTGTATTATGCAGGATCTGCCCACCTTTCCAACACACTAGGCCGGAAGCGCTGCCCGGCACCAAGCTATGCACTGCAGCACACACAAAACATAGCTGGAAGGGACGCGAAAAGATCACCACACGACAGGGAGTCCCGGTTACGTGAATCCACTCCCCTGGCCCTCACAACTCTACGACATGAATGCCAACACATCCCTGTTTCACTGTGGGAACCCACAGAAGTGGACTAAAGGTCAGAGAGTTCAGAACTACTCTTGCTCCCTCAAGGTTATAACAGGAGGTTTGACTGCCAGGATACTTTGACCTAGGCTGTGGTTGCGTGATGCTCTGGGCACTGAGAAGGTGATTACTTTGTTCTTTGTGTCTTGGTGAAGTCTTTTGTCTCCCCCTCCTTTCTGGATTGGGGTATGTAAAGCCTGTGAGAAATAAACACAGGGAGAATCTGAGTGTTTACTGGATGTCCTCACGACTATATTAGCATCTCTTGTCCCTTTCTCAACCCTCACACTTCCCTCACGCTTCCCTCACACGGACAAATAAGCTGGCAGGACCTGGTCGTATCTTGAATTTTGCATGCAAATGGATGGAATCAGAAAACACTATCCTGAGTGAGGTAACCCAGACCCAAAAAACCAAATATGGCATGTACTCACTCATTAGTGGACTCTAGCCATAAACAAAGAGCATCGAACCTATAGTTCATGATCCTAGAGAAACTAAGTAATAAGGGGAACCCAAAGAAAAACATATATAGACCCACCTGGACTGGGAGTGAACAAGCATGGGAACAACCTACATTCTTTACTATGCCACCACTAAATTTATTCTTCAAAGGGTCCAGAAACAAGGCTGCAGAACTTGCACAGGGACTGAAGATTCAGGTCAATTAAATTAACACAGGCCTACTCGTATGAATTCCCCCAACACCACTTCTTTTTATGTCAAGCATCAGATTACAAACGGCAAAGGTTCAATAGGCAAAAACCCCATCATGTCTTCCCCAGAGTGACTACTAACCAGTCAGGATCACTCTCTTCTCACAAGGGAGGCTGAAGAGGGCTGCAGCTGTCTTAATGCTGCTGTTCTTCAAACGATGCCCCTCATCACAGATCAGAAGGTCAAATCTTACAGTCTTAATTAGATCTAGGGAACGAAGTAACATTTCATAACTGATGACAAGAACAGAATAAAATGTAGAATTGATGAATTCCTCGACTTTATGATCCTAAAGAGAGAAAAATAATATTTAATAAACCATAAAGAGAAACTATGAAATCAAATCTAAGCAGCATATTTGCCAAACAGTAACCAAAGACAGAATCCATTAGCTCATCCTGTCTTTTCCCACTGGGCTATACCAAGATGGTTTCAACAACAGGCAGTCCCAGACGCTGACTCTACAAAGTCATTTGTTTCTTTTCCTCCTTCCGAGGGCTCCTGGGTTTTCTCCCCCATAATTCCTTTAGATCCCACCAGCAAGGGAACTGACTGATGAACATCCTAAGTCAAAGGATCAAAACTACCCGTGAGCAACAGAACCTCCTTGGCACCAACAAAGCCCCACATAGCTGGCCCTAATGTAACAGTCAACTGCACCAGCCAGCCCAGGGACCCTGGTGCTACCACAAAAAGCCTCCCTTCTCCCTGGCTTCCCTGGAAAAGCCCCCTAGCTCACATGATGGAGAGAGGAAGGTCTGCTCTGTCCTCCTTTAGGGCCAGCGTACGAATCCCAACCCAGGCCTCCATCCTTATGACTATATCTAATCCTAGTCAACTCCCAGAGGACCCACTCCTAAAAACATCACAAGCTCCTGGAAGACTTCCCAAGGTTGACTTATAATACTTTGATTTGAAATGGTAACAAAAAAATTAATAAAACCTTTCTGTTTTCTCATTATTCAGTAAAACAAATGAAATATTTAACATTTTATTGTAAAATGGATTTTGGACGGTGACTGACTACATGCAGGGCTAGCAGGCAGCCTCTGATCAGCTCCCCTCTCAGATACTGACAGGCACCTCCTGGGTCCCTGTGTGAACCTAGAGCAAGCAGCCTTATACTGCCAGGGCATCTCAGCTGGAAAGTGTCTACTGAGTCTACATCAAAGGGGTGTCCACAGTGTCCCCCGCACCCTCCCTGCCTCCTGGCCATGTGTCCATGTGAAGAGACCCCCTCTTCTGTCACTGCCATGCTGTCTCTGGGCTGGGGCCTGAGCTCTGCTCAGAGTCATGCTGCCCTGCGTTCGGGAACACTATTTTCAGGTGTGACTTTGGTTTACACTGCGTTTCTTTAACTCCGTGAAGCTGTGGTTCTTTGCCTGCCTAAAACACCTGATGGCCTAACAAAGAGCTGGACGGCCAATAGTAAGGCAGGAGCATGGATAGGCGGGGCTGGCGGGCAGAGAGATAGAGGGAGGAAACTGAAATTACAGAGATAAAAAAAGAAAAAAGCCCAGAGGTAAAAGGTAGTCAGAATAATTTAGGTTAAGAAAAGCTGGCAAGATCATAAGTAAGAATAAGCCTCCATGTGTGATTTATTTGGGAGCTGAGTTGAGGGCCCCCCAAAAAGTCAAAAGAGTAAAGAGTAAGTAAGATAACAACACCCTGTCTCGCTGTCCAAGTCACTGATAACTCTCCTAAGGAACTCCATAGTCCCAGTAATCCAGCTCAGCGACCTCTTAAACCATGAAGCTAATGTGTTCCGAGCACTTTTAATGTAAACTAGACTAAACTATGATGCAGAAAACATTATATGAATCGTGTGTGTGTGTGTGCTCCTGTCTGACCTTCACAGTTCTGGTATTACAGACGAGTCCAGCTGCGTTTCTAACTCGTGACAGTACATCATCACACCGCAAGCAAACGAGCACGTGCACACTGTAGTCAGCACCTGAACATGTGACTCTGCGGAACCAAAGGCAACCCCGCCACAACACCCTGAAACGAAAACTCCATTTCTGGGCAGGGACTTGTGGAACTGCACACACTCCAGAGCTAAAGCTGAAGCTGGCCTACAAAGCTTAAGAATGGCTAGGGCTTAACCCTTTAAAAACCCCACCTGATCAACGGTGAATATCTTGATCCTCTCACTTCCCAGCCACTTCTGAAATTCTTTCCTCCAATTAGTCACCAAGCTTCCAGGGGTGACAATAAGCGTCTTCTTTATTACTGGCTTGCCTCCATAAGGCCCTTGACACTGTAGGGTCCAGATGAGTGAGATACATTGCAGAGTTTTTCCTAAGCCCATTTGATCAGCGAGAATCGCACCACATCTGCCATGTGCTCTGTTAGGAGTGATACTTTCTTGAGTCACAAAGGGAAAATACTTCATGCCCTGATATCATCAAGAACAGGAACCTGGTAATAAGGACTCTGGAGATTAGTGTTTCATCTAACTGATTATAACCTATCAGTTTTGAATCTTTGACAGTTATAACCATTATATATTGTGAACTAATTACCAAAACATGATGTTTCTCATCACTAACATTTGAACACATTTTTAATCAATTTCAGTATTAGACATCAAAACAATTCAAAATATATTGAAACTTTAGTCAGCAAGATCTGAGCTGAAATTGTGTAGAATATATTCTACAATAAGAACTTATCACTCTCTGACAGACTATGGAGTCCTCAATCAAAACAGCTTAGGTAAGAGTCTGACATCTTGCAGCTAATATAACTTTAAATGAAGTCATTGGAAGCATTTCCCAAATCATACATCTTAGGCTGCTTTATATCTTAGCTGTTAGATAGCTACAGGACACTTAAAAGTTACAATGGCCAACGGAATTAAGTTTATTACTGAAAATATCAATATAGTTTGTTAAATTGTATTCTATTAGAAATTAGGGCTAATAAGCAAAGTCTGGGGAGATGGTTCCACTTGCAGCAAAATGAAGATCTAAATTCAATCTCACAACCCATGTAAAGAACCAGGCATGGTGGGACACACTTGTAATCCCACCATGTAGAAGCAGAGACAGGCAGATCCCCAGGCCAAGTCCAGGACAGTAAGAGAGCATATCTCAAGATAGAAGGTAGATGGTACCTATGAAAAGACATCTGAGATTGACCTCTAGTGCCCATGTACACAGGCACACGAGTGCATTCACACACACACATACATACACACATACACATGCACACACACATACATACACATATACACATGCACACACATATACACATGTACACACATATGCACATATATACACACATACACATACATACACATATACACATGCACACACATATACACATGTACACACACATACACACACATACACATGCACATACACACACACCTACACATGCACACACACATACATACACATATACACATGCACACACATATACACATGCACACACATATACACATGCACATACATATACACATGCACACACACATACATACACATGCACACACATATACACATGCACACACACATACATACACACATACACATGCACACACATACACATGTACACACATATGCACACATACACACATATATACACATACATATACACACATACACATGCACACACATATATACACACACATATACACACATACACATGCACACACATATATACACATACATATACACAAATACACATGCACACATATACACATGTACACACATATACACATGCACACACACATACATACACATATACACATGCACACACATATACACATGCACACACATACATACACATATACACATGCACACACATATACACATGTACACACACATGCACACATACACACATATATACACATACACATGTACACACATACAAATATACACACATACATACAAAGAGGATCAATAAGCTCATTAAGAGTCACTTTCTGTGGGCTCTGTTCTGAGAGGAACGAAGACATCAGTGCAGGTTTTACTACTCCTTCCTGAGTGCTCTTCAGAACTCGGCCATGAGCATCCTTCAGATTACTTATGATCCTGCAAGATTCAAGTCAAAGAAGCCGTGCGTCCCAACAACCACACTTTTTGTAGGCACGCATCTTCGTGAGCAGAGAAGTATAAAGAACGTGGATAAGTTTGGAATTAGATCTGTAAGAAGCAGTTCAGTTTGAAAGTGAGGGTTAGGTGACAGCCCTGGTGGGGCTGGACAAGTACGTACAAACCCTGGATTCGATCCCCAGCATAAAAGTGAGTGTGTGTGTGTGTGTGTGTGTGTGTACACATCTATAAACATATTAGATGTACATTTGTTTGTTTGTTTGGGGGTTGAGACAGCATTTCTCTGTATAGCCCTGGCTGTCATGGAACTCACTCTGTAGACCAGTCTGGCCTGGAACTCAGAGATCCACCTGCCTCTGCCTCCCAAGCGCTAGGATTAAAGGTGTGCGCCACCACCGCCCAGCTCATGTACATGTATTTATATTACAGGTATATTTTAGAAGCCATATGGTTTAGAGAAAAGAGCTTTCAACCTAAAGGCTGATCTTTTGCACTCCGTATCTAATGCTGCCTCTTACTAGCCATATAACTGGGAAAGTAAATCTCTATTCTTATCACTGTCCATAGAATGAACCTGGTATTTTCCCTACCTAACTTACATGGTTTTCATGAGAAACAAGTGAAAATAGTACTTATATAAGACTAAAATAAATGGATAGTGTGGGGGTGGGGCTACTTAAGGTCACTGCTCCTGAATGCCCACTTCTCAGCAGGACATCCTGCACATGGCTTCCACCAAACACCACTATGGAAAAAATGCATGCATTTAGTACAAGCTGCTTTTCCTGCCAGCTAACATTTATGGTGCAGACTTGAGGTTCATTCTATCAGATTCTTCACAAAATACCTAATTGTTGCCATTTATTCTCCTACCTCATTCCCATCACACACTCATAGAGGAAGATGACTCCATCTCTCTGATGCGATCGGAGGTGACGAACAAGGTGAGGGTCTACCACCACATCCACAAGAGGGGAGCAGTTCCTATTGAACAGCCGCTGGTGATTCTGGTCCGGTTGCGGCATCACTAGGGAATCTTAAAAAGAAGGTCCAAGTAGAAAGGCAATATCACTTTCAGTTACAACATTATCTCATTCCCATTACTTCTACACCAGAACAGCTTGTCATCGTGATAGGGTGAAGTGTGTGTGTGTGTGTGTGTGTGTGTGTGTGTGTGTGTGGACTAGGGATGGACACACACCTATGATCCTAGCATTCCAGAGGCAGAAAGAAGAGAGGGAATTCTGGTCAAAAGAGGAAAAACAGAAAGAGAAAAAAAGAAGAGGAGAAGAAGGGAGGGAAGAGAAAGGGAGGGGAAGGGAGAGGAAAGGAGAGAAAGTTGTGAACGTTATATTCTCTGACTGCCATAGACAACTGAAATTCACTTTTTTCTAATCGGTAAGCACAGCATCCTATCTCTCAGAGAACAGAGAGCCACTCCCATTTGAAGGCATGGGTAAGAATCTGACAAGATGCACTTGCCAGTGTTCAGATTCTCATTCTGCAAGACTTCCCAAGCTGCTTTTATCTTAAGGTCTGTACAACAGACAGAGACCATCACTTCTGATAACATTAATCAGAACTGAGAGAGAATTAAAAAGTTCCCATTGATTTAACCGTTATTATTGGCTTAAAGTTAACTATTACACTAATGAATGTCAAATTCATGAGCTTTTGCAAAGCAGCATGAATTGACCAGCAAATGATAAACTAATTTTTTAAAACAGGTAACACCACTTAGAGGATTCACTAAAATACCCTCCAAAGACAAAAATCAAACATAAGATGACTGACAGTTGATCAATCTGAAGATAATTAATCTATCAAAGTTGGTTGTGGAGTCTGCATGTTAGCAACATAGCTAAAACTTAATTCAATCCAAGAAATAAACAAGAAAGAAAAGGGGAAGAACAAAGGGATGAGAAAGAGAGAGAAAATAGATTCCAGTCCATTGAATAAACATCTACTGATTGTAGGATTAGCCATGGTCAGAGAGCTCAGCTCAGTTCACAGTTAGCAATGACCCATTCAATCCATCCCAACAGATTCCTTCTTAAAACGGCTGCTTTGTGTTTTATCAGTATGTAATCATCGGCGGATGCTTTCTTCTATAGCCTGAGAACTCTCCCTCCTAATTCAAAGGTTAAAATCATAAAGATGGCTGTATTGCAGGAACAGATGGCCCTAGACATGATCACAGAAACCCAACAGGGATCCGGTTGTGGTAAACACTATGATCAAAAGCAACCTTTGGGGGAAAGGGTTTTATTTTATCTTACAGCTTATGAGTCCATCACTGAGGGAAGCCAGGGCAGAAGTCTGGAGGCAGGAAGAGAGGCAGAGGCCACCAAGGACACTGCTAACTGGCTTGTCACCATGGCTTGATTGTTCAGCCTGATTTCTCATAGCATACAGAAGCACCAGCCCAGGGGTAGCACTACCCACGAGGGCTGGGCCCTCCCACATCAATCGCCAATGGAAAAATTTAAAATGCATTCCAGACTTGACCAGAGGCCAGCCTCACAGAGGCCAGCCTTACAGAGGCCAGCCTTACAGAGGCATTTTCTCCAGTGTGGTTCCCTTCTCTCAGATAACTCTAGCTGTGTCAAGCCGACATGAAAACCAGTTAACACACTGCTAATGCTCACAGCGAAATGCTGCTCCTGTGCCAGTGGCCAGGACAGAGGAGCAGCAGGTGGCACCTGAGCTTCAGGAGTGTGACCCACCAGAGAGCAAGACGGGGGTGGGGGGGTGGATCACTGACAGGCAAGGTCCCAGGGGCCTTGGCTCCAGAATGTCTCTTCTACTGCTGTGCCTTTGCATGTCTGCCGCCACCATTTTTCTCTGGCATCTGGAATGGTGTGAATGGTGTGGGTGATCCCCACTGCCTCTCATGTAGTGTGGTTATCTCATGGAAATATCCCATCCTGCTGGGCATGTTTACCTGTGGATTATTATGAAAATGATTTCTTCCTAAGCTATGCTGTTCAACTGAGGCAATGATTTTATACAATAGTGTTAGTTTAAATAGAACTTTGATGTAAGGTTTTTAACAAATGTAGTAAGGGATTATAATAGAGGTTAGTTTAGTGGGAAAATTAATACAGGTAAAAGGAGGATATAGTGTTGTTCCCTCTCCTGACAAAGCAGGGGCTGCAGCGGATATTTGACTTCAGCAGACAACTCCCAAAGTATTTGATTTCAGCACTATTCTTTATGTCAAAAGGTATATCTGAATATAATCTTCACCTATAATTTTCAATTTTTTCCTTTTTTTCTCCACCCTCCCCCACCTCCCACCCCAATGTGGGATTCCCCTCTGTATGTTGTGAATACCACTGGTTAATAAAGAAGCTGCTTTGGGCCTACTGCAGTGCAGAATAGGGCAAGGTGGGAATTCCAAGCAGTGAGATATAGAGAGAGAATAGGCAGAGTCAAGGAGAAGCCATGTAGCCGCAGAAGACAGACACTGGACGCCAGACAATACATAGATTAATAGAAATTGGTTAATTTCAGATATAAGAGCTAGCTAGAAATGTGCACAACCTAATAGGACAAGCAGTGTTTTAATTAATACAGTTTCTGTGTGCTTATTTCGGATCTGGACAGCCAGGAACAAACAAGCAGCCTCCACCTACACCCCCGCCCCAAAGACAGGGTTTCTCTGTGTGACAGCTCTGGCTGTCCTGGAACTCACTCTGTAAATAAGGTCGGCCTTGAACTCACAGAGATCCGCCTGTCTCTGCCTCCTGAGTGCTGGGATTAAAGGTATTCCTGTCCAGCATAAAATTTTGTTTTTAATTTTGTATATGTATGTGTGTAGGTGTGTGCATGATGTGGAACGGACATGAGACCAGAGGACAGCTTGGTGGAGCTGGTTCTCTCCTTCCACCAGGAGGGTCCCAAGGATCAGATTCAGGTCATCAGACTTGGCAGCAGGTGCCTCTACCCACTAACCCATCTTTCCAGTACCTCACCTGAAAATTTTTTTGTTTTATTTAGTTTTTGGTTTTGAGACAGGTCTCAAAATATAGTTCAGACCGGTTTTCAACTTGCTATGTAACCCAGGCCTGACCTCAACCTTTGCAAATTTTAAAACGAAATTTAAACACAGTTGGCATGACAAAATCTCTGGACAATGAACACAGAAGGCTTGGGTTATCTTTACAATCTTACTTGGTGTGTGTGGGTCATGGCGGGGCTTGCAGTTCTGCCAATCATTTTGTCTGTTCTCCTTTGACTGACCAGACTGGCACACACTTTTGAAAGGGTTGGAAAAGCATTTCCTGGCAGCCTGGGAACTTGGGACTGCAGGGCTTCCACATCCACGCTGAAAACACTTGCCGCTGCTGAAGTCATCAGAAGAGACTGTACCCAGGATTTCCACTTCTTTCCCTCCAATCACCAGTACTTGGCCCTCTTCTATGTTTTCAAGCTCTTTGAATTTATATCCAATGCCTATAAGAAAGAAAATAAATGAATTGAACTGACATTCTAAGAAAACTTAGTAATAAAATAGTCAACTGCCCATGACCACACAGAATAAACACTGTATTGTGCATACAAATTACGCTGTATATCTCATTAGCCAGAAACATAATGTATTATTCTGATTTCAGAACAATGACAGATGAACAAGCCGATGATGCAAGCGCAATTCCCAGAACCCACATCAAACACCAGATGTGTCTCTGTAAGGGGCTGCCCTGTGTGGGTGCTGGAAACTACTCAGGTCCAGAGAGCAGTGTGTACTCTCAACAATAACACTCTCCCCAGCTCATTCCCAGCATGCTTATGGTAAGATGGGAGACTTGGAACAGGAGAATTGCTCGAAAGCTCTTGGGCAAGCTATTGGCTGAAGGAGCTCCCGCAGCACATACCCATACACAGAAATATGCATATATACACACAATTAAAAATGAAATGTTATTATAATTAACATTAAAAGTGTCATATTTTAGAAAATACAACCAAATACTTACAAAACATCTCACCTTCAGATTTCCAGTGGTGTCCCCTGTGAAGCATGCTCTGGTCCCTTAACACTGACACTGCAGCAGGGAAGAACACTCACTGGACGTTGTCTTACCACCCCCTAGTTATCAGTTACACTGCCTTCTCCTTACTAAGCTACAAAATAGATATAACACATAAAGCTATGTGTTCATCCCATATATATAACCACTATATATAAAGCTATGTGTTCATCCCATATATATAATCACTATATATAAAGCTATGTGTTCATCCCATATATATAATCACAATATATATAAAGCTATGTGTTCATCCCATATATAATCACAATATAAATAAAGCTATGTGTTCACCTCTGAATCTTTACTCCAACATAGTAGCTGGCACATGAGCTGAAAAGCAAACAAGCCATAAACCATATTTTAAGTGAGCGAATGAATATGTACAACAGATTTTATAATCTGGCCAAACCCAAACCTAAGTAATAGAGGACAATACATCGAACTCTCCAGTGTGGAGCACCTGGACCTGCCTACGGTGCCAATGGCGCTGCACTAGGACGAGCTCCACGGGAATGCTGTGCAGCGCTAAAAACGGCACCGCCCAGTCTGCTGTGCATCTGGTCAGGTCTAACCCTCATCTCTGTGTTCTACAGCTCAGTCTTTCCTGAGCGGCACGGAAACTGGATAGCACTGAACTCCTATCAGCGACGGCCTTTACTATCTCAGTCACTTCACACTGGGGGTCGGGGGTCATGACAAACTGCTGAATCTCAGGAGAGCGCCAAGACAGCGGCAGCTCGTTGGTGCCTATCAGACAAAATTAAACATAGGATGGAATTTGCCCAAATGAGCTAGCATGCTCACGAAAGCACTGGGTTTGCTATTATGAAGAATATGATGTAGCACACATAGTTGGGGCACAAAATTCAACAGCACCCAATTGTCCCTTTATAAAACCCAACTGTGCTTCAATGCACAGCCACAGACAGACACTAATTTCAGAACAGACCATAAGACAGGTAATAGACCAAAATACCTCTTCCGATATCTTTGCCTTCCAAATCTTTCAGAGTGAAGGACCTCCCTTTTACAATAAGAATAGCATCGCCTTCCCATTTCTTGTGCTTTTTCTTCGAAGCTTTACACCAAACAACACTGAAATATTTAAGCAAGCTACTAGGTTCCTCTTCTTGTGCCTTGGACTCAATAATTTCTTCAGAGGCCAAATGAACTAAAATAAAAAATAAATTTAAAACATTATTATTGAGAATGATTTTAACATTTAAGCATCAGGATCATTCAATCAAAAGTAAATGCGTCCGTGAACATTCATGTCCGTGAACATTGGCACCTTCACCGGTGGGAACAGTTTCATTAACATTAAACTTGATTGTTGGTAGTCATAGATTTCAAATATATGTTTTAAGGTTATAGGGGCTGGAGAGATGGCTCAGTGGTTAAGAGCACTGACTGTTCTTCCAAAGGTCCTGAGTTCAATTCCCAGCAACCACATGGTAGCTCACAACCAACTGTAATGAGCTATAATAGCTTCTTCTGGCCTGCAGGCATATGTGCAGGCAGAACACTGTATGCATAACAAATAAAATTTAAAAAAAAAGAAACCCTGCGATAAGGTTATAAAAAGCTCTCAGCGAAATAAGTAAACCGCAGGAAAGGTCGTTGCAGAGAAAAGCAGATTGTTTTCAAGTGTTCCAACTCTTCAGTTACTGCCACAGCTCCAGATGTCAGTAACTACTCCAGGCTGACTGCCCCAAAGCCATCCTGATACAGATTTTATAACCTGTCAATAAACAGAGAGCATCTATCGCTTCCTCTTTGAAGCACTCTTCCATTTTGTAACACCCTCTGAAGTCCCTTACTTCCTTCACCGAGTGCCCCATAGTCTTTGTCAGTGTTTCCTTTTACCTTTATAGAGAGCTCTTAAGAGCTGAATTGAGGGCATTCGTCTCTCACTGCACACCTTAAATTAGCTAATCCTCCTGTGGTTTCAATGCCTCGGTACCAACAGCTTTTCCTGCCCCTCCCCATGGTATAACAGGCTGGCCTGGAACTCATGGTCCTCCTGCCTCAGTTTCCAGAGCGCTTGGATAACATGCACCACCAAACCAAGAGTTCCTTCTCTGTTCTTCGAAACTAAACTCCATGTTTATTACCAATATCTATTTTTAATGTAAATGACTGGATAAGACTCCTGTTGTTCCTAAGAAAGCACTAAGTCCCTGTGGCAGGGCATTTTAGGGCTTTTCTGTGTGGTGGCTAATCTTCATCATCGACCTGACTGGACTTCCAGTCACCACAGAAACACACCTGAGCACACCTGTTTCCAGAAGGCTTTGACTGAGCAGGAATGCTCACCTGAGTATGTCTGGGACATTCCATGGGGTCCCAAAGTGGACTTAAAAGGGAGGAGGGAGCATCAGCATCTCTCTCGGCCTCCTGAGTGCAGGTGCACTGTCATCAGCAGCCTTGTGTGTCCCCTGCCTTGATGGACCGACCGCACACTCAAACTGGGCGGCAAATGAAGCCCCTTCCTCACAGACGCCATCTTCCTCTCACATGCCTACCACAGGCTAACTTCCGTTCGCTCTTCTATGCACATGTCCCAGTTGCCAGGTGAGATCCAGTTGCCCTATTACCTCAACATTATTGGGACAATAAATTACCTAAAACCTGAATGTCCACCTTTATCACTAAAGAGACCTGAGAAGGCAGATCTGCTTTAACTTCATGTATGAACGTATGGACAAACTGACACTCTATGCTTTAACTTCATGTGTTGACGTATGGACAAACTGACACTCTATGCTTTAACTTCATGTGTTAACGTATGGACAAACTGACACTTACTCTATGCTTTCATTTCAGGGTTTTAAGCACCTAAAAACTACTTTCCATTGAAGAAGTAACTTTAGAAAATGACTGAATTCATTTCCATTGTTGTTCATTTTTATCTTCATATTAAAGGCTTGTTATCTTCAGATCAATTTTTTCAAAATAAAGTTTATAAACAAGATTTGATCAGTCACTTTTTGGTATTTTTTCTAAACCAGTGGTTCTCAAGTCTAATGCTGCAACCCTTTAACCCAGTCCCTCATGCTGTGGTGACCTCCAAACATAAAATTATTTTCATTGCTACTTCCTAACTATAATCTTGTTGCTGTCATGAATCGTAATGTAAGTGCCTGTGTTTCCGATGTCTTAGGTGATCCCTGTGAAAGGGTCATTCAACTCCAACCACTGTTTTATCCCTTTACTTTTTCAAGACAATCCTTACGATGTAGCCCAGGCTGACCACAAACTCATGGTCTAGCTATATCCATCATTTCTAATTTTGCTAACAAAGTTTGCATACCTAAACTTTATCAACATTGCATCAATATACCAATTTTTAGTTAGAAAACTGATTGGGTTTAAAGTAAGAGTTTATTGGTTGGACATGATGGTCCACTCTGCAACCTCACCACTCAAGAGAGTTAGACCAGAGGATTCTCAAATTCTAGGACAGCATATGCCGCATAGGGAGTCCCAGGCCAGGCTCTACTACACAGTTACACAGTGAGGATTTTGGGGAAAAAAAAAAAAAAGGTTATGTGTTGATTATTTTTGTGGTGTTTGATTATCAGAGAAAGTTTTAAGGTATATAACAAAAAGGATGTTCTGATTAGTTTCTGAACACTCCTGCTCTTCTGGAGGACCCCACCACCTTGAGTCCCAGCACCCACACTGGGGGCTCACAACTTTCTGTAACTCTAGGTCCAGGGCATCTGACGCCCTCTTCTGGCCTCCACCAGCACCAGGCACACTCATGACACACAGACAAACATGTGGGCAAACACCCACACACATAAAAATGTTTAAGTGTAGGGCGTGATTGTTTTTGCATGGTTCCCAATAGTGGCCAATCTGTCCTGCTCTCTGCTACGTTACCCAGGAGAACAGAACCCTCTAAACAGTCCACAACCGCCCAGAGTTAAAGGGGCACCTCACCAAATGACTGGGAACAGCTAGGCATGGCAGTAGAGGTCTGGGGGACTGAGGAAGGAGCGGCACAGTTAAAAACCAGCTTGGGTTATATACTGAGTTCTGGGTTGGCCTAGATTTATATAATTAGACCTTGTCTCCAAAAAAGAAAAGAAAGGCTGGAAAGAAGCATAGAAGACTAAATTCTGAGAATCTAAAAAACATTACTGTTATGTCCACTGCTCCCATTTCTGAAAAAGGATAATTCGGGAAACTCAGAAATTTAATTAATATTAAAACCAACAGCCCAGCAGTATGCCCTTCTTTTGAAGATCTTTTCTAAAGAACACACACTATGGAGTCAGAGCCAGGCCCACACTGCCTGGGCCTGAACACCAAGTCTGCCACTTAGTAACTGGGTGGCTTTGGACAAAGCTCTAACTCCCGTGTGCCCGTTGGTAAGTCTACACAGTGGAAGCGGGGCAGCTGGGCGACCGCTCAGTGGGTACAGCGCTCACACAACCCGAAGACCAGAGTCAAGACTCCCATCGCCAGCCTGCAACCAGACTTAAGGAGGCAGAAACAGGAGACTCCCCAAGGCAAGCAGGTCAGCCAGACTATCTGAAATAGCAAACTCTGGGTGCAGTGTGGATCCCTGCTTCAGAAGATACGTAGAGAATTATGAAGGAACACACCCAATATCAACCTTGGGCTTCTACACACACACACACACGCTTGTGTGCACAGGCAAAACACCTATGCCCATAAGTTTCTTTTGGTTTCTCCGCGTAGCCCTAGCTGTTCTGAAACTCAATCTGTAGACCAGACTGGCTTCAAACTCAGAGATCCACCTGCCTCTGCTTCCAAGTACTGGGATTAAAGGTGTGCGCTACCACCACAAGACTATAATTTTCTTAAAATATACAATATATAAATGGCTTAGAATTGAAAATTACCTATAACTTTATTCACCTAATAAAAATAGTGAATGTCAAAGTTCAAGTGTTATATGTAAAATAAACATATATTTCTTTCCACTCAAGATCTATACAATGGAATATTATTCCACAATAAAAATGCAATGAACAACTAATAAGAGGAGAGAGGGGAAAAAAGAGAATACTAAAAACATTAAGGCAGTCTCATAATTAGGGTTACTATTGCTATGATGAAACACCATGACCAAAAACTAGTGGGGAGGAAAGGATTTATTTATACTTCCACATCATAGCTCATCAATGGAGGAAATTAGGATAAGAACTCAAACAGGGCAGGAACCTGGAGGCAGGAGCTGATGCAGAGGCCATGGAGGGTGCTGCTTATTGGCTTGCTCTCCATTGCTTGCTCATAGAGCCTAGGACCACCAGTCCAGGAAAGGCAGTGCCCACAATGGGGGGGGGGGGGGCTCTACGTCAATCACTAATTAAGAAGATGCCCTACAGGCTTGCCTGCAGCCCAATCCAATGAATGCATTTTCTCAGTCAAGGCCCCCATCTCTAAAATGATTCTAGCCTTCGTCAGGTTAACATTAAATGAGCCAGCACAGATAGGTTATTTTTTAAAGCAGTAATTAGAAATTACATGAAATTTTAAAACAGGCAAATGTTATGCAGGTGTGTTTGTTTGAACAGGGTCTTGACATAGACTAGGTCAGGCTGACCTCTAAGTTGTGATGTTCTCAGCTGCTGGAATTAAGGGCATGAGTTGGCACACTAGGTTATGCAGGATTTTAAACAGTTAACACTGGTAGATGAGGTGTGAGGAAACTGATTAGGAAAGAGTAAGAGGGAACTGGAAAGTGCTGATATTCTGAATCTTTGTTCTTTCCCAAGGCTGGAGACTGAACCCAGGACTTCCTGCATGCTAGCAAAATGACTGTAAACTCCTCATGGGAGGTAGGCATATGAATATTTACTACAAAATTCTTTCAGTGTTTTGGTATGTCTGAATAATTGGTTAATAAAATGTTTGGAGTTAGAAACTGTTAACAAGTAAACTAAAACAGAAAGACCTACTAATAAAATAAAGTTCTCATGATGCATTCGCTTTAGTTTCTATTTGGAGTCAGACAAGTTTGGCACCTAGCTCATTTGACAGAGTGCCTGCCTAGCATGGGTTTGATCCTATGCATTGCCTAAATGAAGCATGGCAGCACACCTATAACGCCAGCACTTGGATGGTATAGGAAAAATTTTAAGATCATCTACAGGTAAACAGGAAGTTCAAAGCCAACCTATGTTACATCAAACTGTCTCAAAAGCAAAAAATAAATATTAAATAAGCAAATTGAGCTGATGAGTGACATTTTTATTTGCTTTTACTCATTTATTTTTCATTATTTACAAAGCAATTAAAAAATAATATAATTTCAAATTATACCTACTAGCTTAATCAATTCAAAAGACTAAAAATACATTAATCATCCTGGTGGGGACACAAGTACTTAATATATTATTTAAAAGAACTAAATAAAAGTAAATGTTTAGACAAAGAAAACAGAGATAGTATCTCAAAAATGTATACAAAAATTCAGAACGATTCTGTTCATTTTAATTAGATTGCCTAACTTACAAACTTACTCCTGTATTTATAGACTATGTACTTCATTTACTTCTTAAGTATTTACAATCAAATATTTTATTTTGAGAATTTGTGGACCTTAAGGTTTTTTTAAGCATGATATCTAGATACAGTATATTTGGTATCTATTACAGTCTTCTAGACAATTTTAAGTTTGCTTCATCAAAAACTTTTACCTCTACTATACTACAATCTGATTTATGGCACCAAAAAGAATATATACAAATCAGTTTAACTTCCTTATTCTTAAAAACATGTATTAACAAAACATTCACTTAGCCACCCTCACCAAGAGTACACTGCAGTAAACAGGTTCCCGGTACTCTGAGAGTTAAATGTCCACTAGATGACACCACACTAGCAGGAGGCACACGCTGTAACATTTATGTGAGCAAACATGAACCAGAGGGTGACTCAAAAACCAAACTATACAAGTTGTCGCCTCACTATGCAAAAGGGGATTTATTTTGAACATTTCATGAAATTATAAACAAAAAAGCTTAGCCAGGAGGTGGTGGTGCATGCCTTTAAGTCCCAGCACCAGAGGCAATCAGATTTCTGTGAGTTCGAGGCCAGCCTGGTCTACAGAGCAAGTGCTATGACACCCAGGGCTATACAGAAAAACCCTGTCTCGAAATAAGAAGGGGGAAAAAGCTTTTCTCGGAATACTATTACATGCCACATCCACTTCAGAATATTTTATAATATATCTATTTACGTTCATACAGATAAGCTAGGGAGGGAGCAAAAGCTACCCATTATCTAAATTACTAAGAGATCAAATGAAAGCCAGGCTTGGTGGCGCACACCTTCAGTCCCAGGACTCGGAGGCAGAGGCAGCCAGAGTTTGAGGCCTAAACAGTGAGTTCCAGGACAGCCAAGACAATAATAGAGAGAAAACCTGCTTAGAAGAGGGGAAAGAAAAAAAAAAAAAAAACAGCGAGGGAGAGCAAATGAAATAATCGTTTACCACATTTAAAGTCTCTCTACAGAATCACACCTAAAACAAGAACCAAACAAACCCCCTCAGTCTTGCCAGCATTTCCCAAACTGGAAGAGGATGGCAGCTCCCTCACTGCTAGCGGAAGTTCCTCCTCAGTACTGGCTGAGTGAAACCTGTCCTCAGCAAAGTGTCCTCGAGTTCAAAGTCTCAGTACCACAGAGAAAGGTGGAGAGATTTAGCTCAATTCCCCTACAGGATCAAAGGAAAACAGTCTCAAGACGGGTTCTGCGGTCAAATGACTAATCCTTCGCTCTACTTGGGAATTCTCATAGACCACGCTTAGACCTCACTTTGAAAACACGGTTGCATGGGGGAAGAAATTAGAGAATGGGGCAAGATTATATGTTTTATAACTTTTACAATTAAAACAACACTGATTCATAAAAAACTGCAGAAGTTTACTCTGATGAATGGAATTCTGAATTTAAAATACAAAAAAAAAGTTTATTACTCTTCACAGCCCTTAACTGCTAACAAACTGTATCACTTGACACAGGAAACAGCAAATTTGAACAATGCCAGAGAAAAACGTGATTACAAAACTATATTATGTACAACAAAGGAATTTTCAAAGACATCTATTTTTTAAATTTCCACAATGATTATAGAACTAAACCATCAAAAAAAAAGATGTACTTTCTTTAAACACTGAATTACTTTCTAGAAACATTTCACAGAATTTGTTTTCCACAAAGACACTTGTAAATGGGTTTGCTGTACAAAGTCAATACTCAGACTGGATGTTTACCACACCCGAGCGGCAGCATACTGAAATAATGAGAATCATACTTCATATAACTTACTTTTAATAATTTCAAAAAGATTTCTACTATAGACATATTTACTAAAAATATATTACCTCAAATTAGAAGATCCATTACATTTCAAATGAAATAGCACAGATTAAAAAGGCAAACTGCCAGGGAACACACATGACCTTGAACACTGAGAAGTTGGTAAACAAACTACTTCTATGGCTACATTTGATAGCTTCTACTCAACTCACATTCTTAATCATGTTATCTCTCTAATCAAAACGCCTTCAACAGCTTCTCACTTCATATTCAGTTAAATGTGACTCGTTAAAAACAGCATTTAATGGAATCCCTAATTTTTGTAACAACTGACATTTTATCCATATTACACTCCGGTGAGAAGCGGACATAATTTAAGCACCAAGTTAATTCTCACCCTTTAGCATCAGAATCCCCAGAGGACATTATTCCCAGAGGGCTGGATCCCACCCTAGTTTCTGACTCACTGGATGGATTTACAATTCTAAGGAACTAACAGAAGGCCAGTTCAGGACTGACACTATTGTCTTAACTCTAGTTTTGTGGTGTTCTGGACAGACGCCCTAAGTCTTGATTACACCAGTAGAGCCCTGAATCATCCATCGGCCACAATCCTCACCTGGGCCTTTTACTGGGACGACCACTAACCGGAAGCCTGAGAGCTGGAGGCTGGCGTGCCCAAACTGTTTTAAAAGCATTCTGAATGACTTGCAAACATTTAAATACTACAAATTTTCACAAGAAATACAGATTCCTGACATATTCCTGCATGTTAAATTTCAACTTGAACCAAATAGAAGCTACCCAATGTAGTCAAGAAAGATGTCCACCAGGCACCCCTTATGCAGCACCCCAGAGGTGGACGATCTCTGTGAGGCTGAGGCCAGCCTGGTCTACCTAGAGTGTTCCAGGTCATTGGAGTTACCAAAAGCCAAGACTTCCTACCTATCCTCACTTAAAACTGCCTGGCTTAGACAGCATTTGTGCTTGGACACTGATTCACTCCATCCCATTCTGTGAGTGTTTTTGCAGGAGCTCACTCTGACATCAAGTACCCTTTATCCCCACTATTTCTGAAACTCTACCTGCCCCATCCGAAAGTCTGGCTTTTTAAAGTCTTTCCTCATCAAAATCCCAGAAAAAAAGACACACATTAAATATTTAACATAAATTCAATATGTAAGATTTATGAAAATCAAGATTTTATTTTTATGAATATACAACAATATTTAAAAACCATACTTACAAAAATCTACGAGTTAAATGCTATGTAAACATGATCTTGGCTACTGTCATTCTAAGTAGTTTTCATTTTGTTTAATTCTAATTTTACTACAGTTTCCGGAAAAACACTGAAAATGAATTAAGGTAATTTTAATCACATGGCCAAATATGTAATATTTTCAATAAAAAGACACGATCTCTTTTCTCAGGACAAAGGGCAGGGTAGAGACACAACTCCCCAGACTTCATGACCCAACAACATGTAGCAGTAAGTTCTCTTTTGGTCACCTGGAGACGGCTCAAACACACCAGGAAAGTGCTCTACCCTTGAACTACAATCCCCAACCCAAAAGGTGATTCTAATTAAATAAATTCTCCTAATTAATTAAATAAATTCTGAGATGTTTTACTTCTATAGAATAAGGAAAAATTACTACCACTATCACTCCCTGCTTCCTCAAAAAAGAAAAAAAAAAAAGAACTAAGTACTGCTACTTCTCTGCCATGAAAAGCCGTGCTACCTGAAATAAATTATGGCGTCCTTCCTGACCTCAGTTTCATTACCTCTAACCAAAGTGTTCTCCAAATACCTCCAGTCTCTAAAGCTAACACCACTCTTTCAAAAGATAAAGACAAAACCAATGTCATGCATACTCATTTTCTGTTACCATTAGAATAGCACACAACTATAATCCTAGTATTCAGAAGGCCGAGGCAAAAGGAGCTTGTACTCCAGGATAACCTGGGCTACAGAGTGAGATCTTGTCTCAAAAAAAAAAAAAAAAAATAGGACTAGGGATATAGCTCAGCGATAAAGGTGTGTGCTTACCATCATGTACTTGTTCCAACACCAACACATACACATATTCTCTCTCTCTCTCTCTCTCTCTCTCTGTGTGTGTTTTAACTCTAACTTTCAAAGTTGTAGCTAAAACTGTTGAAGATTCAGTACTTTGAAATACAATTTATGCATTTCACAATTGTGAGCATTCTGTTTTGTTTGACACAGGATTTCACACGCACAGGCTGACCTTGAAATTGGGACCTGTCTCTCCCTCTCCAGTGCTGTGGTCACAGGCTTATGCACCAGATGCAACTCTATCTGTATTATTTCTCTAGTACTCAAAACAAAAGATCATAAAGTCAACAGCTAAATGCCTTAGGAAAAATTAGGGCGAACAATGAACTGGATTATCATGTCAACCAATCAGTAAATTTTAGTATCTAAAGAGAAAATTAAATACTTAGAAAATTGTGTAAAAAAAAAAAGTAGGGTTAGGGAGGAAAAGAAAACCACGTTAAAAGCTTTTTTCTAAGAGAGATTAACAACATTTTTATAGGACGTGTGCTCAACTTCATGATATTCCCAAATTAATTCTGACAAAATTAAAATTATCAAACTGAAAACTCTTGGAGACTACTACATTCGGGCAGATTATGCCGTAAGCGAGAGGCTTTCAGTTTCTCCACTTCAATCTTTGCTCTGAGCAGCTCCTCCTCCAGCAGCTGCCTTCTTCTCAATCCATCCCTCTTTTCCTGAACATACAATCCGAAATTCTTTTGATTTTCTAAGATTATCTGATGTTCCTCTTTTAACATTTGCAGGACCTGAGGGTCATATCTTAGCAGAGACCTAATGTGTTCTCCACTTTCACGATGAAAAAGATCATCTCTCCTTGGAACAGAAGATGGAGATGATGTCATTCTCATATCAACAGAGGAAAGTGACGGAGACAAGGGTTCTTCCATAACATGTACTAATTCATGCTCTTCTCTTTGCTCTAAAGCATCACTGTGTTGAGGATTTGGAAGCACTGGAGGGGATGATTTAATGTCTTCTTCTTGCTTCACCTCTACCGTAATAGCAACAGGATGGTGACCCACCATCACCTGTAGTGAACTGGTACCAGCCTGCGCAGCCTCATCCAAGCTTGCACTATAGCACATATAAAAAAAGAACAGTATAAACAATAAACATATTTATAAAACATTTCATATTTATACGCTTAATATTTCATAATAATATACACTTAACTATAAATCTTTGAATAAAGGGTGAAGGCATACACCTATATCCCCAGCACTTGAGAGGCTGAGACAGGACAATCTCAAGTTCCAGGACAGCCTAGGCTACACACCACACTCTATGTCAAGAAAAAGAGATGGCCCTAATGGCGCACATCTTTAATCCCAACACTCAGGAGGCAGAGGTAATGAATCTTTGTTCCAGGCCAGCCTGGTCTACAGAGTGGATTCTAGGACAGCCAGGGCAACACAGAGAAAGCCTGTCTCAAAAAAACAAAAACAGAAACAAAACCAACAACAACATGGACCCGTGGGATTTTCTTGTTGGGGGGGGATTTTCCCAAGTCCGGGGTTTGTAGAAGGCATTTCTGTGTTTCCTCATCCCCAATACGGCTTTCTCCCACTGCTTTCCTACTGCTGTCTACTACCTGTTACAACTGAAGAATCGGCTTGCCTTTCAGTTCTTGAAGGGGCATTGAAAACGAACCCAATCATGACCTCTAGGCAGGGTGAGTGGTGGAAGTGCAAGGCCGATCTGGTCTACAGAGCAAGTTCCAGGACAGCCAGGGACACACACACACACACACCCTCAAAAACCAAAAAGAAAAGAAAGACCCCTAGGCTGTTTTACAATTACAGTTGTGAGCAGTCATGTGGTACTGGGAATTGAACTTTAATCCCCTGGGAAAGCAGCAGTGCTCCTAACTGGCTCTCTCTAGTAACACAGTTCCTATGTCTCTGTCACGACTTCAGCATGATTTTTTTTAGAACTCAACAGTCAGGTGAAGCTGTTGTATCCGCTACCCTCTCCCTGTGTAGTAATGGTAACGGAGCTATTAACAGACCCTAATGCCTCTTCTTGTCCCCCACTTCCACCCCATTCCCACCAAACACAGGACAGTAGCTACTGGAAGTGGAAGTGAGGGAGGGACCAGAGAAGGAGAGACAGTGAGAGGGTCCAGCCTAGGTAACAAAGATGCTGAACTTCCATCCAATATGACTGGCTTCTTTCTCGCCCACTGGATCTGAGAAAGAGACTTAGAAGCTTAAAACACAGGCCTTGTGAGCTTTTTTTCCCGCAGATAGGACCCCTGCTGATGAACTAGCTAGACAAATTCAAGGCCAGATCAGGACGTGTTTACAGTTGCCCCAATCAGCCTTGTGTGTCTTCAAATCCACCAAGGAAGGAAGTCCTTTCAAAGACTTAAGCAAACAAACTAGCCCTCAAGAAGCTGGCTTCTGCTTCCCAAGTCCCCAGTCTACTCTGCCTTTCTCTCTATGTGACTACTTGCATTGTGTGTGTGTTCCCCACCCCCAATAAAAGCCTTTCTTCAATTGCTATAAAAAAAAAATTTAAAACTATACAAAAAGTGTTTAACAGAAGAAACAACTAAGACCATGCCTTTAATAATGTATCCATTTAGGTATCTGTTCTGTTGGTGGTGCTGATAATCAAGTCAAGGTCCTGGGCATGCTCTCTTCATCCCTAGCCCTCTGTTCTTTTTTTTTTTTTAATATTTATTTATTTATTACATATACAATATTCTGTCTGTGTGTATGCCTGCAGGCCAGAAGAGGGCACCAGACCCCATTATAGATGGTTGTGAGCCACCATGTGGTTGCTGGGAATTGAACTCAGGACCTTTGGAAGAGCAGGCAATGCTCTTAACCTCTGAGCCATCTCTCCAGCCCCTAGCCCTCTGTTCTTAACTTAGGCTCTTACAATGAAATTACAAATGCTACACAGTTAGTAAAATAAAGAAAAGCTACTTTGTGAGTGTACACGTGGGCTGTGTGAGCCTGTGTGTCTGTGTGCTGTGTGCACACGAGTGTGGGCCTCACAGAGAACTGTGTGTTGTGTGCACACGAGTGTGGGGCCTCACAGAGACCCAAGCATGTGGGCTGTGTGAGCCTGCGTGTCTGTGTGTTGTGTGCACACGAGTGTGGCCCTCACAGAGACCCAAGCATGTGGGCTGTGTGAGTCTGCGTGTCTGTGTGTTGTGTGCACACGAGTGTGGGCCTCACAGAGACCCAAGCAGTACTATTTTTTTGAGGTAGAGTCTCTCTGAACCAGAAGCTCATCCACTGAACTCCAGGATCCGCCTGTCTGAGTCCTCTCAATGCTGGGGAGCTACCATTTGTAGCATTTTACAAACGGTGTCCTGGGGTCTGAATTCAGAGCCTCATGCTTGTGTGGTTCCTTATAAAGAGAACCACTCCCAGAATTAAGAAAAGTGGGAGGAAAGAAGGAAGGAAGGAAGGAAGGAAGGAAGGAAGGAAGGAAGGAAAGAAGGAAGGCAGGCTTTTTTTTTCTTACATTTATTTATTTGTGTGTGTGTATTTGGAGGTCAGGTTCTCTCTTCTCCACCTCCCCATGGAGGTACTAGGATCAAAGGCAAACTGTAGGGCTTAGCAGCAAACACTTTTACCAACTGAGCCACCTCACTAGCCCGGAAAAACCATTTAAATGTTCTCAAAGAACATTGCTGAGGTTCTTAAATTAAGCTGTAAAAAAAAAAAATCACCTGACGTTTTCTCCTGCTTTTGTTCTCCTGGACTATCTACAAATCATAAAAGCCGATGACTTTAAGGAAGATGGCAGAGACTATTTATGGGACCAAACATAAAAGTATTTCATTGCTACTTCATAACTGTAGTTTTGCCAGTTATGAATCATAATGTAGATATCTGATATGTGATCCCTGAAGGGGTCACAGCCCACAGGTTGAAAACCACTGATCTAGACTAAAGTATGAGATAAAAAAAGTTGAAACTATAAACAAATTTTACATTATCTTCATAATTTCTACTGCAAAGTACTATGTAGCATATAAAACTAGGCATTATACTTCCACATACATTAAAGATATGCTTATGCTGGATTATTCACTCCATAATGGTGAACATTATAAGTAATAAAACAAAACACTAGAGAAAGTCTCAAGAAAGATAAACAGAACTAAAAATTTCTAAAAGCTGAAAATCTAACTTAGAGGATCAAAAGATTATAAAACATAAATTATAATCTGCTATTTAGAGAGACATAAAAATATCTAAAAATCATTCTAAGTTGTAAAGTAAGTTACAAAATAGAATAGATTATTTTAAAAAAAGACATAAAACATGCAGTAAAATTCCATTCTAGAGAATGTAATCAAATTAATAGTAATATTTGTGTAAAAATAAAATCAAAATTATAGATTTCACAAACTTCTGGGATAATTAAGATTTGTGATGATCTCAGCTAAATACATACAAGCACATTAAATACATAAGTATATTAAATGAATAAGCTAACAGAAAAATATCAATGTAACATAAGTGGCCTATTTTTATATTCTTCCTTTTTTAAGAAAACTAATAAGCAGTTCAACTTAAACAACAGATAGAGAAATACACAGTCAGCTGACTCATCTCATCAGAGAGATGACGGTGTGTCAAAAACTCAGGAGGGCGTGTTTGTGTTTACGATGATCAAAATACATTCCGTGTTCACTGTGTTTTTTAAATAGACAACTAACAGCACATTGTCTGTGTATCCGTTTCAAATTATAAAAATTCAAAATCTAGTGTCCAAAAGGTGTAGTTTTCTAACAAAACCACTTTTCTCCAAGCTGGTTTTGAAAGAGTAAAATTCAAAAACAATCAGGGCAGCCTCAGTTTTCCTGTGGACACAGAGGTGGAAACTCCTACCGGTGGGTGGCCCCAAGAGCTAATCCACTGATCCCCAAGTGGGGGGCTTTCTTAAATTTATGCTACCAATTAGAAATAAGCAGGACAGAGTAAAAAGCTCAGAAATATTTCCTAATAAGTTACCAAAGCAACAGACAGGTCAGCTGAAGTTTTCCTAACCTCAGGCTGCACAAGTAATTGCAACTCTGTTCACCCAGGAAAGCACACTGCTCTCTGTGAGAGAGGCCTTCAACAAAGAGTTTACGGTTTGTTTAAATTACCTAACTGATTGGTAAAAAAATGGTGCTGCCATTTTATCTATGTCAAGAGATAAGATTTGAGTTAGTCACAGGTAAGAGCTTTTAAGATTCTGAGGCAAACAATCAAACAGAACAAGCTTAAACCAAAATTGTTTCCAAGCCCTAACCCAGGTTGCTCTTACTAAAACTGAGTTTTGTAACCTACAGAGCAATATCAAAGTGAAAGTACACCATTAATCAATTACACTTTTTTATGCAACCCGAATCTCTTAATTAGGTATTAACTTCCTTTAGTGTTTCCTTTTTATCTATTTCAAATATATTATATATTAGAAAAACTAAACAGTCTTCACATACACAATCCTTTGATTTTAGTTTTGTTAGTTCAGTGCACACTCAGGAAACATACACAGTAATCATAAAAAACAAAATTTCCATCTGCTCCAAAACTACTAACTTCACACAAATTTTATATAAAACAATTCAAGAAACCCATTTCAACAAAATGTAATCTTAAATAAAAATAATGTATCTCAAAGGCAAATAATCTAATTTTAAGGCTTAAAAAGTTTATGAGATATAATCAAAGTACATAATATACATGCATAAAAATGTCATAATAAAACCATTATTCTGTATATGCTACTGAAGTCTTTAAAAAGTTAATTCAGTGATGTCACAAGCTTCATCCCACTAATTCTCCCCGGCCTTTACTTTTAGAAACTGCCCATGAAACAGGGCGAAGACGGTGAAACCTGTTTAAATCAAGCGCAAGAGAAAAATTCCTCATAGCTTTACTTTTTTTTTTAAGAAAGCAAAACAAAGACACCATTCATGCCCCCTTGTGGGGTGCTGACATGCACATCTCTTGTCACAGCTAAGCAGAGCCCAAGAGCTAGGAGGCGCCATCATTTCCTACAACAAATAAAATAACGCTTACCTTTGTGTGTGGTTCCTGTCTCTTATCAGGCAGAAGCTGGAAATCTGGGGAATCATCTCCATGACTTTCTTGGTTGGCTCGGAAATACTGCTTTTAAAATCTGACTGGGCCTCCTTCTGCTGCAATAGCTCCTGTTTGGCATATTCTTTGAGCCTTTTGTAAAGGCTGCGAAGGCCCTGCGCTGTGCGAGGAGGACGGTCTACTCCAATTGCATTATAGTTAACTGCTATGACATCCCAACATCTATTCTTCTCCACTATTACTGAATTTTTATTAGTATGCTCTTCGAGAATTTTCACGTATGGCTTCACGAGGCTTAGCAGATCAAGCTTTTCAGATAGGGTAAAATTGGAAGATCGAGCCTTCCCTACCATTGTTCTTTTGAAATTAAGTAGGCAGCTTCTGAATCCACCATGCAGCCTTCAGCTCTGCTCAGCTCTTTTCACAAACAGAAAGATCAGGCTTAACTAGGCTAGCCCCATTTAGGCCCACGCCTACAGGGGAGGGCTTATTAAAATTCCTCCAGCTTAAGCTGACGCAGGTTTGGGAAAGCTGCTTAAGCCAAGCCTGACCTACATAAAGCTTCTCACAGAAGGCAGGAAAACACAAGCGAAACACTTGTGTGTAAAGAGAGCGGCTCCAGATAGGATTTAACGCACAAAGGTCTAGAGATAAGCACGGAACACAGCTTAAAATTGACTAATTTAGTGAGAATATTAAATGTCCACACATGTATGCCTGGCTGACAGGCTGAAACAGCCCTGCACTACCACTTTAATAAGACAAAAGAGGAACTGGTTTTGCTGTTTGTTTACAGATCTGGTAGACCAAAAACTAGGAGACACGGGGGTGAATGTAGTTTTCCTGGCAGAGCTCTAATCACTGTTTCTGAGCTGGGTGTTCTCCCTAACGAAATCTGCACACTGCTGGTCCTGCTGTCAATCAGGAATTGCATATCCTCTAGCTAGTTAGGTTACACCAGCTCAGACTGCAGTAAAGCTAAGCTTCCTCTTCATTGCAGTGTACAGCATCCCCTGCATAATTTGTCGTTCTAGGAGAAATTTTTATTGAATACTAGATACAAAAACCAGATAAAATATGCTTTATTATTCTAACTGTAATGTATATAAATATACTAGTTTGTTTTATCATATGTAGAAATTAATGGTGAGAAACAGCATAATTATGTCTTAGATGGGAGTGTACAAACAAAATCATATTTCTATTAAAGCAAGATTTTTTGTTTATCTTAGTCACACAACTTGGACTACGAAAAGAAACAATCTGGCCAGTAGCTTTCATGTTTAATCCTAGTTTAAAGCAGATGACAATCACAAAAACAAAACAAGCTTATTTGTTCCTGATATATTTGTCCAGACAGAGGAATTACTTGAAGCATGCATAAAAGACTCGTGCTACAGCAAGTGTTTCTCATGTACCTTAGGTTTAATCCCTAGCACCTCAAAACAGAAGAAATAAGTAAATGAACCAAATATGAACATATTTGATCCAGTCAAAGGCTGGCAAGAGAGTTCATATGGTGAAGGCACCTGCTACAAGACTGATGGCCTGAATTTGATCCCGGAAACCCACATGGTGGAAGGAGGGAATCAACTCACAAAGTCATACGCACACATACATATATATACACACACACACATATACACATATGTATTTTTGTATGTATGTATGTATTTTTGTTGAGGAAGTAAGACCAGTTCTATAAAACAATCACCAACCTACACAAATGTCCCAAAGGTGGATCTACAACTGCTTTGTAGACAGCTGCAGTACACGGAAATGCTACAAAGAGGCCTCCTGGTGCACACGGCCTTACGACTGTTAGACACACACTGTACTCCCCCCAAAGTGACCTTGTTGAACCAAGAAGCAAATACTAAATTCTCACTTTTTTTAAAGCTGTTTGTTATTGATTTGAGACAAGGTCTCCCTATGTGGTCTCCCTATGCAGTTCAAACTCCCAATGTAGCCTAGACCAGCCTCCAACTCATGATTCTCCTGAGTGCTAGAAAAGAAACGTGTACAAACAAGCCCAATGAGCCTAGCAACCTACAACACACTTTAACTGTATTAGCTATCCAAAAAGTAGGAAAAGAGAAAAGGGGTAAAAGCTGAAGGTAACGTCTTATATTCCCAGGGAGGACGGCACAGCCCAAGGTCAGATGGTCTATGTGTAACAACACCTGTGTCAGAAGAAAAATGGCTGATTAAACGGTTCAAGCAATAAAGTTCTTGTCATTGAAAGCATGAAAACCAGAGTTTAGTTCTCCATCACCCATAAACACACACACACACACACACACACACACACACACACACACACACATATATATAATTTAGTTAACTTTATTTCATATGCGTTGGTGTGAAGATGTCAGATCCCCTGGGACTGGAGTTACAGACAGTTGTGAGCTGCCATGTGGATGCTGGAATTGAACCCGGATCCTCTGAAAGAAGAGTCAGTGCTCTTAACCTCTGAGCCATCTCTCCAGCCCCCATACACACATCTTTAATTCCAGGCAGAGACAGGTATATCTCTATGAGTTCGAGGCCAGCCTGGTCGACAGAACTAGTTCCAGGTTGGCTAGAACTACACAGAGAAACCCTGTCTTAGGGTGGGGGGAGAGAGAAGAAGAAGGAACTCTGCTTCATTAAATAAAGTAAGAGTGCTGGAGGAGGACAGGACACCATTGTAGCCTGCACACACATCCACCCACACAGGTGCCCCCCGCACACACCTGCACACGCATCCACCCACACAGGTGCCCCCCGCACACACACCTGCATACACATCCACCCAGACAGGTGCCCCGCACACACACCTGCACATGCATTCACCCAGACAGGTGCCCCCCGCACACACCTGCACACACATCCACCCACACAGGTGCCCCACACACACACCTGCACACGCATCCACCCACACAGGTGCCCCCCGCACACACCTGCACACGCATCCACCCACACAGGTACCCCCCGCACACACCTGCACACGCATCCACCCACACAGGTGCCCCCCGCACACACACCTGCACATGCATTCACCCAGACAGGTGCCCCCCGCACACACCTGCACACACATCCACCCACACAGGTGCCCCCCACACACACCTGCACACGCATCCACCCACACAGGTGCCCCCCGCACACACACCTGCACACGCATCCACCCACACAGGTGCCCCCTGCACACACACCTGCACACGCATCCACCCACACAGGTGCCCCCTGCACACACACACCTGCACATGCATTCACCCACACAGGTGCCCCCCGCACACACCTGCACACACATCCACCCACACAGGTGCTCCGCATACACACCTGCACACGCATCCACCCACACAGGTGCCCCCCATACACACCTGCACACGCATCCACCCACACAGGTGCCCCCCGCACACACACATACACCTGCACACGCATCCACCCACACAGGTGCTCCGTATACACACCTGCACACGCATCCACCCACACAGGTGCCCCCTGCACACACCTGCACATGCATTCACCCACACAGGTGCCCCCAGCACACACCTGCACACGCATCCACCCACACAGGTGCTCCGCATACACACCTGCACACGCATCCACCCACACAGGTGCCCCCCATACACACCTGCACACGCATCCACCCACACAGGTGCCCCCCCGCACACACACATACACCTGCACACGCATCCACCCACACAGGTGCCCCCTGCACACACACACACCTGCACACGCATCCACCCACACAGGTGCCCCCTGCACACACACACCTGCACATGCATTCACCCACACAGGTGCCCCCCGCACACACCTGCACACACATCCACCCACACAGGTGCTCCCCATACACACCTGCACACGCATCCACGCACACAGGTGCCCCCCATACACACCTGCACACGCATCCACCCACACAGGTGCCCCCCGCACACACACATACACCTGCACACGCATCCACCCACACAGGTGCTCCGTATACACACCTGCACACGCATCCACCCACACAGGTGCCCCCCGCACACACACACCTGCACACACATCCACCCACACCGGTGCCCCCTCCACACACCTGCACACTCATCCACCCACACAGGTGCCCCCTGCACACACACACCTGCACACGCATCCACCCACACCGGTGCCCCCTCCACACACCTGCACACGCATCCACCCACACAGGTGCCCCCCGCACACACACACACCTGCATACACATCCACCCACACAGGTGCCCACACACACTTGCACATGCATTCACACACACACAGCACACACACACAACATAAACATGCAAAATAAAGAAGAGGGGTAGATTTCTTTATATTAACATAGAACAATATTACAGGGTATACTTATAGACAAAACAACAAACTCTCTAATCCCTATTGTGTTGCTATCTGGGCTTCAGCACGGATACCCTACAGTCCCCCTGGGTCTGCTAAATACTGTGAATTAAAAAGCAGCCCCAGAACAGAACCCCTTATCTCAACCCTAAAGCACAGCCGTTTCTCTGACAGTTTCCATCTGCCACACAGGCTAAAAGGCAGCAACATTACTTCCTATGCCAGATCCAAAACCATTTTGTGTGACCTGGAATACTGTAGACAGGAGCCAGCCACAGGCAGCTAAGAAGTGAGCCAATCCCAAAGCAGGCTTTGATATGCTAATAAACTAGTCAGAAGGTGGCATTGGTAAGCTAATGAGCCAGTTCTGAGCTGTGAACCCTGATGGCACAAAACTAATGCCCAATGAGTTGGACGATACAAAGAAAAAAAACTGGAAGTAGTGGTGCGTGCACACCTGTAATCAAGCCCCTTAGGAGGCTGAGACAGGGAGACTACAAGCTTGAGACCACATGCAAAGAAAATTCAATTTAAAAGCAGAGGTTAAACACTATTGCTGTAGGAGACCCAGAAATCCCTGTGCTCACAGACAAGCACTGGGGAACAGGAATGTTAAACACACAGGGTTGTCTCTTCAAAGCGAGAGATGTTTTCCAGCCAGGAGACTGGGGACTAAAGGTAGTTAACAGCCAGGTGACCTTTGTGCTGAGACCACACCAGACCCTTCCCCATCCCTTATCTTGAGCCTGTTTGTCTCTGTCAATCTATAACGCTATCTTCCCCCAGACCCTTATCTTCAGCCCACTTTCTCTGTTACTACAGAACCTATCTTTATGGAAGACATCACTTGTACTGCACAAAGAGGGTCGATGTAGTCAAGTCTTAAGGTTTGTTGGGTACGTGGGATTGAGCTAATTGTCACCAGGAAGCTTTTTTCTAAATTGTGCTGTGCTTATATGTGCCTAAAATAAACTCAGAATTTGAATCAACACCGGCTAGGACGTGTCCAACTCAGCTGCTTCTTATCTTCCAGACTGGCACTCTGAGGCTTTCATGGTCAGAGACCCTGGCAAATTATAATTCCCCACACCAGACCTGGCAAAAGTAAATTCAAAGTAAGTGAATAAGTCCAAAGTACATGCCAGGGAAAAAAGTTTTCTTGAAAGACCACTTGAAGAACATGTCTTACAAAGTTTACAAAGCCTTTATATGAAGAACAGCAAGGATTAGGAAACTGTGAGACACACAGCAAAACTGTGACCATACCCACAGGATATGGGGAAAGAGGAACTTAAAGATAGCCTACAATAGATAGATAGATAGATAGATAGATAGATAGATAGATAGATAGATAGATAGGGACACCGCGCTCAAGCACACTTGCAGCCCCAAATCCACAGTCTGTAATATCTCTTAAGCAATAGGTGGAGAGCTGGCTCAGCGGGTAATAGCATGCTCTACTCTCGCAGAGGATCCCAGTGTGGTTTTCAGGACCCTGATCAGCAGCTCACAACTGCCTGTAACAGCTCAAGGGGATCTAAAGTGTCTTCCACAGGTCCCTTGTACTCACACGCACATGCTCACAGAAAGTTACAACATACACATAATTAAAAATAATAATGCTAAAAATATGACTCAGCAGTTAAGAGCACTGGCTGTTCTTCCAAAGGTCCTAGGTTCTATTCCCAGCACCCACATGACAGCTCACAACCATCTGTAACTCTATTTCCTAGGAATCCAAAGCCCTCTTCTGACCTGTATGCACACCAGACACACACATGGTGTATAAACAGGCATGCAGGCGAAACATTCATACCCATAAAATAATAAAAAATGACAAAAATAACTATTTAAAAACAAAGAAAGGAAGGTAAGGAGTTCTGCAAGGGTGGGTAAGTGTACTTGTTTCCCATGGGAGCCTGATGACCTGAGTTCAATTCCTAGAATCTACTTGGAGAAAGAGAACTGACTCCGCAAGTTGTCCACCGACCTTCGTGTGTGTGTGTGTGTGTGTGTGTGTGTGTGTGTGTGTCTGTCTGTCTGTGTGTCTGTGTGTGTGTGTGCTGCATTTAAAGTCCAGTATGCCAACACACACACCTGTAATCCTGATACCTGGAAAGAGGATGCAGGATGATCAGGAGCTCAAGGTCAGTGTTTTCTACATAGAGAGTTCTGGGCCAGCCTGAGCTACATAGGACCATATCAACATCCTTCTCTCCCACCCTCCCAGCCCCAAAATTCTACAGACACGTATTTCCTAGCTTTGAATCTTGGAAGAGCTAAAAGCTATATCAACAAATACACCTAGTATCAAAACCTTGGTTTTTAAATACCATTCTCTACTAAAATGGAAGTATAGCCTTTGGCTGCTTTCAAGAGACAGGCCAGGATCTGGTAAGATAGCTCAGTGGTAGAAGGTACTTGCCATGGAGACCAACAGTCTGAGCTCAATGCCCAACATCTACAGGGTAGAAAGAGAACACCAGACCTCAAAGCCATCCTCTGACCTCCACATGCTGCAGTATGTACACACGCACATGTATACATACAATAAATAAAAATGCAGAAAAATTAAGGCCTTATTATACTATACAACAATGTATACTAATGGACATTACTAAAAATTTGTGAGGCTTCTGATAAAAAAATTTTATAAAATTCCTAAGAAATTAAAAAAAAAACTTAACATGAAAATTATCAGAAAACAAGTAAGGGGGCTGGGGAGATGGCTCAGAGGTTAAGAGCATTGCCTGCTCTTCCAACGGTCCTGAGTTCAATTCCCAGCAACCACATGGTGGCTCACAACCATCTGTAATGGGGTCTGGTGCCCTCTTCTGGCCTGAAGGCATACACACAGACAGAATATTGTATACATAATAAATAAATAAATCTTTAAAAAAAAAAAAAGAAGAACCCTTGTAAAAGTCTGAGTTAGCTGGAGTAACACACACACACACACACACACACTCATACATGAACACACACACTAATGCACACTTACATATAGAACACATCCTTGCACACAAACATACACAGGAACACACACTCATACACACACGCGCACACACTGATAAGTGTTACAATTCACTGACTAAAACAAGTTTTGTGAATTAATTAGTAAGTAAATGAGGAAAAAGGAAAAGTTTTCCCTTTATCAGAATGCCAACTAATAAATATAAATGGAATTACAAAGTCTACCTTTGGCAGAAAACACACACGCATAATAAATTTCAGGCAAGAATCAGCTTCTGGGCTGGAAATGTAGCTCAAAGGGACACCGTTTGTCTAGCATGTACGAAGATTCCTGACTAATCCTCAGCACTGAAATCAATACTGTCAAAGCAATTCCCTGACGTTACTTATTAACCAGTGCGGAAACTACTTTAGATGGAGTCAAAAGAAACCTCCACACACCATTCTGTTCACATGAAACCACCATCACCAGTAACGGGACAAACTGACAACATGACAGCATAAACCTCCTGAGTGTCCTACCCCAAAATGTACGCGCTGAAACAACATCAAACAAATCTAAGTCAGAGCACAGAGCTTGACCTGCAAAAAGTGGAAACGCCAGCCTGGGTGAATGGCGCTGTGGAGCAAGGAGCACCTAACTGGCTCTCCAAATGTACGTGAGAAGCCCAAAACTATGAGCAGGAGAGTCAGGGCCCAGCAGATCCCAGGGACTCACTGGCCAGCTAGGTTAGCCAAAACGGTGGGTCCAGGTCCAGCATATCTGAAAAGTAAGGTGGAAAGGCTGGGTGCTGATGTGCCCCTCTGACCCAGTACTCAGGAGGCAAAGTGGGGCAGACCTCTGAAAGCTCAAAGCCAGCCCTGTCTACATATCATGTTCCAGGCCAGTCAGGATTACAAAGTGAAACCCTGTCTCAGCAACAAAACAAAATTTAAAAAAAATAATAATAAAGGCAAGACAACAAAATATAGCTCATAATATTGAACTAACAGAGAAAAGAATTTTACCATAAACATTATCTTAATCCATTCAGGCTGTCATAACAAAACACCACAAAATGGCTTACTTAGCCAGTGCTGGGGCTCAAACCCAGGGCCTTGCCATGCAGGGAAAACACTCTAACCACCAAGCTACAGTCTTCTAGATAAATGATATAAATTTAACTTCTAAAGATAAATTTTGACAACAGATAATCTGAAGCAGAAAAATCTAGTGATATTACATGAACAATTATCAGATTAACATCCATTCTTGAATAATCATTTCTAGAGCAGTGTGAGATGACATGTAAGTATAAACACAGTAAAGGCATGGTCTTACCTGTATGAAGTGGGTCTACTCTAGTCCCATGGCCCATCGCCCTAGTGCTGCCCTCCGTGGGCCGAAGATTTGAACTACACACACCTGGATCATCTTGTGACTGTTTAGCACCCTTTAAAAAAAACAGATTTTATACATGGATTAAATATAAGTCCCCACGTGTTTACATAATAGGCTCTAAATTTAAAGCAAGCAGCCAGTTTCTACATTATCTGCATTAACAACAGGTACTGGGTGGGGAGGGGAGACTGCTCGTCCAGATCCTAGCTTCTCAAGTTGGGAGCCAGCCTAGGATAAACAACAAGTTCAAGGCCAACCTGAGCTACACATCAATTCAAACCCGTGCTGTCTCAAACAATCAAGAGCTCAGTGATAGAGAACTTGCCTACCAAACACAAAACCTTGAGCTTAAACACCAGCACCTTCAAGGGGAAGTTGAAATAAACCAAATACTCCTTAACTAATGAATGAAATGTATAAAACATAATAAATAAAAACAACAGAATATTAGTAAGTGTTGTGGGGAGACAGATACTCTCAAAGACACGGTTTACTGCCCCAAAATCTATAGATATGTTGCCATCTTATGTGGCAAAGAGGGCTCAGAAGCTGCGTTAAGAGTTAGACTTTAAAAGAGATTATCTTACACTACCCAATGGAGCCACTCTAACCAAACGAGTTCCAGCTGCAGAAAACTATAGAGGGCGGATGCGCAGCTGCTGCATCCTAGCAGGATATGCTGAACACATAGAGGCAGAGGATCAGGAAGTCAGGTAAATAAACGGATTCCTCCCTAACACCTCCAAACGTCAACAGAGGCCTTACCAGCACCTTGATCCTGGCCCAGAGTGAGGTGATGCACTGTAGTGATTTCAGTGAGAAATGTCCTCCCTCTCCCGGGTGTAGGCGTTTGCACACTTGGTCCCCAGTTAGTGGTGCTGTGTGGGGAGGCTCAGGAGGTGCTGCCTCGCTGGACAAAGGACGTCAGTGGAGATGGTCTCTGAGGGTTCATAGGCTCATCCAACTCCCAGTCCCCCTCTGCTTCCTAACCCTGCTGCCAGCCAGCTGCTTGCTGCCAGGCGTTCCCACCATCATAGACCATTATCCTCTGGAACTGTAAGCCCAAACAAGCTCTTCTTCACAGAAGCAGAGTCTGGTCACGGTGTTCTATTATAGCAGCAGAGAAATAGCGAACACATGTGTCCCCGTACAGCTGTGTGTATATATACACTTGCTCCTCATTCATCTACCTACTGATAGATTCTTTGTTGTTTCCCCCTTCTGCTATCAAAATTACATGATACAATTCTGCTGTTTTAAGTCCGTAAACCAATGGTACTATGTTACTGGAGCAAGAGAAAACTAGTATTTCAGCAATAAAAATAAATCAGCTGCTGACACCTACAACATGGATGCGCCTTGAGAACATGCTACAGAGAAAAGCTATGCAAGTTGCAAGAGGACCCGTAATTCATGAGCTGATTTACACAAATGTCAATAATGCGCAGGTCTAGAGAAAACACATTAACTGTGTCAAATCTGGAGAACTTGGACAGAACACGTAAGGTCCTGCAAAGGCTGCAGTAGAATGTGGTGAGAGCTGCACAACTCTATACATTTACTAAGCCAGGTGTGGTGACGCACGCTTCTAATCCCAGCACTCGGGTGGCACAGGCAGGCTGTTATCTGTGAATTCAAGGCCAGCCTGGTCTACAAAGCGAGTACCAGGACAGCCAGGACTCTAATACAACGATACTCTGCCTTGAAAAACAAAAATAAATAAATAAATAACAAAAAATTTTAAAAACACTAAATTGTACAACTGGATTATAAGATATATAAATTATATCCAAATAAAGCTGCTGAGAGAGAGAGAGAGAGAGAGAGAGAGAACACTAGGGACATAGCTTCATGGTAGAGCTCTTGCTTAGCATATATGAAGCTCCACGTTCAATCCCAGCACACTCACCCCAAAACTCACAGCTTATTATTACTGAGAATATTACTGAGGAGGCCTAAAATTAAATTTCCAGTAATGAGGGTGGAAAAACAAAATAGAAACCTTAGTAAACATAAAAGTCTGTTGGTTGGGGCTGGAGAAATGGCTCAGCGGTTAGGAGCATTGCCTGCTCTTCCAAAGGTCCTAAGTTCTTTTCCCAGTAACCACATGGTGGCTCACAACCATCTGAAATGGGATCTGATGCCCTCTTCTGGCCGACAGGCAGACACACAGACAGAATATTGTATACATAATAAATATTTTTGAAAGTGTGTTGGTTACTTAAAGAACTCAATTATATTATAAATTATAGAACTGTAGGGTTTCTTTTACTTTTCCTTTTATTATTATTTTTTTTTTTTTAGAAACCACTCTAGCTTATGGTGGCACATGGAGGCAGGAGGCAGAGTCAGGCAAATCTGAATTCAAGGCCAGTTAGGTCTACAGAGCAAGTTCCAGGACAGCCAGAGCTTGTAGCTCTATCAAAGATGCCTTACACATCAGGTGCAAGGTCCTGGGGTCACACCAGCAAAGAAAAATAGTAATCATGACGATATAAAAGTCTGAAAAAATTATACAAATTACTTATGTATTTTTTCCTCTTTAAACCATTTTATCCCAAGTTTAACTCACTGAATCAGTAACTTGAAAAAACACTGATAGACTTTTTATTATGTTTATTTATTGTGTGTTCGGCAGGTGTGCGTTTGTGCACACATATGCCACAGAACACATGTGAAGCCAGAGGACAGCTTATGGGAGTCTCTCCTTCTACCCTGTGGTCCTGGGGATTGAACTCAGGTTGTCAAGCTTGGAGGTGGGTGCCTCTACCCACTAGCCTCCCCAGAAGTCCGTAGACCAACTTTCCGAAGGACTGCACCTCTTCCTTGAGAAGACTTTTATTTACTGCTATAGAGAGGCCCAGCCTTCTGCAGGTCAGAGACCAGGAACAAGGTGCCCAGTGGGTGAGGGGTAAAAGCTTCTCTTCTGCTCTTTATCTGTCGGACACCTTCTTATATTCCCCACACCAAGTTCATTACGAAGAGAAGGATCTTCCCATAACAGTTACACAGTTACTACATAATCACTGTAAAAACATATTTTTCTGGAACAACTCAACTCCAATACATTCCTCAACCACACTTCCCACACTCTCTGAGAAGCCCACATTCAGTGGAACATTTGTCTTTTACACTCTCACAAAACCAGGTGCCTTTCAGCCAAAACCATTTACATAGGCAGTACTTTCTATAATTGCCAGAAAAGCAGGTTACTAGTTGCATCTGTCATAATTTAAAGTCCTGTCTAATTATCTTAATTAACAAACCATCCAATTCTTTGCTCTTCTTTTTTTTGGCGGGGTGGGGGGTGGGGGTTCAAGACAGGTTTCTCTGTAGCTTTGGAGCCTGTCCTGGAACTTGCTCTGTAGACCAGGCTGGCCTCAAACTCACAAAATCCACCTGTGTCTGCCTCCCGAGTGTTTGGTTTAAAAATGTACGCCACCTGCACCTGGCCTGTTCTTTGCTTTTTAGTTACATGAAGTCATTACTGAAAGCTCTGTTTTAGCTATGATGCACACCTAAACCCATGAACACATTTCCCAGCATCAAGATTAAAAGAACTTGAGCTAACTCCTGGGACTCAATTGTTTTTCTTTTTTTTTTTAATGGGGGGGGGGGCTATGCATGTACCATAACATGAATGTGAGGGTCAAAGAACAACTTTCAGGCGTCAGTTTGATGGAGGAAGGTCATTGGCTAATAAAGGAACTGCCTTGGCCCATTTTATTGGTTAGAGGATAGGTGGGAGGAGTAAACAGAACAGAACGCTGGGAGGAAGAGGAAGTGAGCTCAGAGACTCGACCGCTTTCCTCTCAGGAGCAGACACCTGAGAGAGACGCCATGCCCTGCTCCCGGAATGAAGCTCCGACCCAGGATGGACATAGGCTAGAATCTTCCCGGTAAGCGCACCTTGGGGTGCTACACACAGATGATTAGAAATGGGCTAAATTAATATGTGAGAATTAGCCTAGAAGAGAATGGGCCAAGCAGTGTTTAAAAGAATACAGTGTCCGTGTAATTATTTCGGGGCATAAGCTAGCCGGGCAGGCGGCTGGGGTGTTGGGGACGCAGCCCCACCGCCGCCCCTATTACTTCATCAGTTCTTTTTTTTCTTGTTCTATTTTATTTTTATTGATACTTATTGAGCTCTACATTTTTCTCTGCTCCCCTTCCTACCTCTCCCCTTCCCCAGGTCCCCATGCTCCCAATTTACTCAGGAGATCTTGTCTTTTTCTACTTTCTACTTCCCATGTAGATTAGATCTATGTAAGTCTCTCTTAGTGTCCGCATTGTTGTCTAAGTTCTCTGGGATTGTGGTTTGTAGGCTGGCTTTCTTTGCTTTATGTTTAAAAACCACCTACAACTGAGTACATGTGATAATTGTCTTTTTGTGTCTGGGTTACATCACTCAAAATAATGTTTTCTAGTTCCATCCATTTTCCTGCAAAATCCAAGCTGTCATTATTTGTTTCTGCTGTGTAATACTCCATTGTGTAAATGTACCACATTTTTCTTATCCATTCTTCATTGGAGGGGCATTTAGGTTGTTTCCAGGTTATGGCTATGACAAAAAATGCTGCTATGAACATAGTTGAACACATGTCCTTGTGGCACGATTGAGCATCCTTTGGATATATACCCAAAAGTGGTATTGCTGGGTCTTGAGGAAGGTTGTTTCCTAATTTTCTGAGAAATCGCCACACTGACATCCAAAGGTGCTGTACCAGCTTGTATATACACCAGCAATGCAGGAGTGCTCCCTTTACCCCACAACCTCTCCAGCATAAGTTGTCATCAGTGTTTTGATCTTGGCCATTCTTACAGGTATAAAATGGAATCTCAGAGTTGTTTTGATTTGCATTTTTCTGATGACTAAGGATGTTGAACATTTCCTAAAGTGTCCTTCAGCCATTTTAGATTCCTCTGTTGAAAGTTCTCTGTTCAGGTCTGTACTCCATTTTTTTTATTGGATTATGTGATCTTTTGGTGTCCAATTTCTTGAGTTCTTTGTATATTTTGGAGATCAGACCTCTGTCTGATGTGGGGTTAGTGAAAATCTTTTCCCATTCTGTAGGATGTCATTTTGTCTTCTTGACCAGGTCCTTTACTTTACAGAAGCTTTTCAGTTTCAGGAGGTCCCATTTATTGTTTCTCTCAGTGTCTGTGCTGCTGGAATTCTATTTAGGAAGTGGTTCCCTGTGCCAATGTGTTCAAGTGTACTACCCACTTTCTCTTCTATAAGATTCAGTGTGGCTGGCTTTATGTTGAGGTCTTTGATCCATTTGGACTTGAGTTTTGTGCATGGAGATAGATATGGGTCTATTTTCAATTTTCTACATGTTCATATCCAGTTATGCCAGCACAACTTGTTAAATATGCTTTTTATTTCCATTTGATATTTTTTTGCTTCTTTATCAAAGATCAGGTGTTCAAAGATGTGTAGATTGATATCCGGGTCTTCTATTCGGTTGCATTGGTCCTCCCGTCTGTTCTTATGCCAATACCAGCTGTTTTCAGTACTGTAGCTCTGTAGTAGAGTTTGAAGTCAGAGATTGTGATGCCTCCAGAAGTTATTTTATTGCCCAGGATTGTTTTAGCTATCCTGGGTTTTTAGCTTTTCCAAATGAAGTTGAGTATCGTTCTTTTGAGGTCTTTGAAGAATTTTGCTGGGATTTTGATAGGCAATTATTTTTCTTAATCATTAACTTAAACCATAGTCTACATGGTTTCTCAAAAGAAACTCATAAGTCCTAGCTTCTTGGTTCCTATTTTCTATCCTCTGCAGCCCTTGCTTTATCAGGAGTGGGAACAACACTATATCCTCCTTTTACCTGTATTAATTTTCCCACTAAGCTAACCTCTATTATAATCCCTTACTACATTTGTTAAAAACCTTACATCGAAGTTCTATTTAAACTAACACTATTGTATAAAATCATTGCTTCAGTTAAACAGCACAGCTTAGGAAGAAATCATTTTCATAATAATCCACAGGTAAACATGCCCAGCAGGATGGGATATTTCCATGAGATAACCACACTACATTAGAGCTGTGGGGATCCCTCACACCCATTCACACCATTCCGGATGCCAGAGAAAAATGGTAGCAGCAAACATGTAATGGCACAGCTGAAGCCCTCAGGACCTTGCCGATCTGAGAAGGGAGAAGTGCGGGGGGGGGGGGGGGGGGGGGGGGGGGGGGGGACTGATTCACCATCACTGCCTAGCTTCCTGGGGGGTGGTCTCCTGAAGCTCGGCTGCCACCTGCTGTCCTCCAGCTTGGCCACCTGCACTACTAACAAAGGCCATATTATTATTGCTAAGATTCTGGAAGAGTGTGTCAGAAGACAGTGAAAGTTTAATAGGCAACAAGGCTTTACTCTGTTGTGGGTTTTCGTTGTTTTCTTTTTCTTTTATTTATTTGATTGATTTTGAGACAGTTTCACTACACAGACCAGGCTAGCCTGAACAAATTATGAAGCCTAAACTCCTACCTCAGCCTTCCAATGCTTGGATTATAGGCATGAGTCACTAGACCTAGTTTTAGGCTATATATATATATATATATATATATATATATATATACACTCACATACATATGCAAATAATATATTATATATAAATAAACTAAAATATATATTTCTTAATATTTACTTCATATTGATTCCCTTCTTTTATTTACCTGAAATAATTTTACATCTGGACCCATCTCTGTGGTCTCTTTATTCAGACTTGTATTACTTCTTCCTGGAGGTATGAATTTTGGTTTTTTAAAGGAATTTGCCTGCACCTGACTTGGTGCTGCAGATCGTCTCATCTTCAGCAATACTCACCTGAAAAATACCAAAATAGAAACCATCCATGAGTGTGATTAGAACAACTGCCATTAATTCCAGTCCCAAAGGATCTGACACCCTCTTCTGGCCTCTGGATGGTACACATGCATACATGGAGGCAAACAATCATACACACAAACTAAAAGTCACTTTTCAATAAACTGAATAAGACATAGAAAACTTGGAGTTGCAGAGATAGCTCGTCCAGTGAATGAAGTGGCTGTGTGCAGACCTGAGGCCCTGAGCTGGGAATCAGCACCCACGTGAACCACACTGCAGAGGCAGCATAGAGGGAGCTGCATCGCAGTGCTCACTATCAGCAGCTCCAGCCAAAACTCCACATCTACTGAGACTATCTCAAACAACAAGGTGGGTAAGTGATTGAGAAAGACATCTCAGCATCAACTTCTGCGCCCCCCCACACACACACAGAGACAGAGAGAGACTGTGCACAGTCGTCCAAAGAGAAAAATCTCAACAGCTAAATACTGAAATTTTCAGTAGCTAAGAGCTACTTAAAAGAATCTCAAGGTTTAGACTGAATTATGTCAGCTTGAGCATGTCAATTTAGATAATGCTAGAATCATATCTGCTCTAATTTAAAAGTAAAAATCTAAAGAAAAAGTGATCCACATGTACATATCAAGCATGTTATACTTTAAGATCCCATTAATTTATAAAACACATGGTAATACTAATCATGTTTGCTTTCATCACCATTCTTGAGGTGGTTTAAATAAAAATGGCCCCATAGGCTCAGATATTTGAATACCTGGTCCCCAGTCAGTGGAACTGTTTGGGAACTAGGTATGGCCTAGGTGGGAGAGGTGTGTCACTGGGAGTAGGCTTGAGGTTTCAAACCAGCACTATTGCTTTGTCTCTCTGCCTGTGGTTGTGGATCAAGTAAATTCTCATGGTCCATAACTTTAATCTCAGTATTCCAGCACTGGGGAGGCAGAGGAAGGCGGATCTCTGTGAGTTCGGGGCCAGACTGATCTACAAAGAGAGTTCCAAAGTAATCAAAGCTATACAGAGAAACTGTTTTGCGAAAAATTTAAAAAAGAAGTAAGTTCTCAGCTACTGCTGCTGCCATGCTCCCTGCCATGATGGTCAATTAAATGTTCTTTTTTTCTTTGTTTCAGTTCTATTCCTCCAGAGAACCCTGACTAATACAAGAAGCCCAAGTTCAATTCCTGGAATCCACACATGTTGAGGAGGAAGAGCCGATTCCACAAGCTGTCCTGATTTTCACATGTTCAATTCCTGGAATCCACACATGTTGAGGAGGAAGAGCTGACTCCCACAAGCTGTCCTGATTTTCACATGTGCATAATGGCACGTGCATCCCCAGACACACACTCATAAATAAATAAGTGTAAATAGATTTTTAAGAAATATAAACAAATTTCATAAGACTAGCAAAACATGTGCTATGACATTGACACTGATTACCTCTGCATGTTAGAATAACAATTTTTATTCTGAGGGTTTCCTTTTTTGTTTTGTTTTTTGAGACAGGGTTTCTCTATAGCTTTGAAGCCTGTCCTAGAACTCACTCTGTAGACCAGGTTAGCCTCAAACTCACAGAGCTCCGCCTGTTTCTGCCTCCCTACTGCTGGGATTAAAGGCCTGGCTAGGTTTTCTTAGTAACTGGAGTTAGACAGTTGTGAGCTGTCATGTGGGTGCTGGGAACTGAACCTGGGTCTTCTGGAAGAGTAGCCAGTGTTCTTAACCACTGAACCATCTCCCCAACCCCATGAGTTCTTTTCTGTGTACTTCAAATTTCCCACAATGAAAATGTTATTTTTAAAATAAATTACCACTGGTTAAATGTGCCATATTTTGTTCAATCTAAAATGCCACCGATTTTCAGACATATTTTATATATTCAAGAAAAAAATCAGTCCATCATTGCTTTGACAGCTGGACCTTTCCCCAATTTCATCCATGTGAAATTTGAATATATTAACTACTTGATGTAAGCTGTTGCTGATGTGTGGCAAAGGAAACTACAGAAATCAGTTCATCGCCTTGTTTTCTGAGACCCAGCCTCTCTGTATCCCAGGCTGGCTTTGAACTTGATCTCTTCCCCCGGCTCCTACCAAGCTCTAGCTGGTTTGTGAGTTTTGCTGAGACCTTTTTCACAGGCCCTAGGAATAAAGCTACTTGGCCACCGAAATGCTGTGATGTATGAGCCATGTGACTTGCACCTGTTTCAGTTCTCGGGGGGGGGGGGGGGGGGGGGCAAAACCAGGCTGACACCTTTGCCACACATCAGCACATTAGATTAGCAAACCATCAGCTTCATAATCTGCTTTAAGATTGTGCTAGTAGAGATGGTTGCATTCGAAGAAACCAGCGCATGAGCTCCACCCACATCTTTCAAACCAGTAACAGCTTACATCAAGTAGTTAATATATTCAAATTTAACATGGATGAAATTGGGGAAAGGTCCAGCTGTCAAAGCAATGATGGACATTGCAGTGCAGAGATTAAGAACACATCTTTGAAGGCCTCCCCAGCACATGATTCTGCAGTTAACTTCAATCTGTTTCCTCATGTGCCTTAATCACACTTGCACACAGCTATGAGATTAAATAACAAGAATTTAGAATAAAACGACTCACAGTAAGTTCTCAACACCTTCTGTAATATTACTACCTACAATTACTGCTGTCTGTGTAAACCACAAAGTCCTGTCAGAGTAGGGACGACCAAGGTCCCACCGCAGGAGAGACAGGAGGATGCGGTTCTGCCTGCAGGATCATAACCAGAATCTGCGCCTTCCTCTGGACTTCACTGAGGGTGTGTGCAAACTCTAAGATGCAGGAAAATGAATTAAACCCCACCAGCCAGCAACATAACTCCCTCGCTGTTTCAGCTTTTTGGTTTCTAGCTACATTAGGAAATAAGATTTCCACTTTATACTGTAAATTACCCTCAAATTTTGCGACTCCAGTCCACCTGCCTACAAATTAATTTATTTTGGAGGACGGGGCTAGAAAGAACCAGTAGGTAAGTAAAATCGCCTAAGGTGGGCGCTGGGTGGTTCTACATCTTCAGACTGTCACCTGCCTAATCGGGCCTTCTCGGGCCCAAGGCGGTCCCCGGGGACAGGGTCATACATCGATTCCAGCCTCGGGGACAGCGGCACCGACAGGCCTCCGGGGTCGGGGGAACCGACCGACCTGGGGACAGGGGCACGGGTGACCGGCCTCCGGGGACAGGGGCACCGACAGGCCTCCGGGGACGGCTCACCGACCGGCCTCCGGGGACCGCGCAGGGGACAGGGACACCGACAGGCCTCCGGGGACAGCGCACCGACCGGCCGCCCCGCGGGGCCCTCCCTCCGCACCAGGTCAGCCAGCGCGGAGGCTCCCGCCTTCCCCCCGGGACCGGCGCCATCCTGCACCAGGCCCCGCGCGCCCTCCCCGGGCCCCCGCGGCAGACACCTACCGCCACAGCGACGGAAACCGCAAACGCCCCGCTGGTCACGACACCCTCCGCCGACAGGCTCAAGTCTCCCGCCTGCACACAGCCAATCGCCGGCCGGGCGCCGAGCATGCGCACCGCCGCGCAGCGGCGACCCGCCCCCTGACTCTGATTGGACTCCATTTCCGGTGCAGCGTTGCTCAGGCGTCTTCACTTTTCCTTTCACTTGCGTGCCGGTTTGATTCCCGTTGGCCGCTAGGTCTAAAACATACTAGTTTGGCTCCAGTTCCCAGTCTTCAGATTCTAACTGAGGCGAAAAACAGTACAATTTATGTGGACAGAAATCAGCAATTTATGATTTGGATTATAGAAATGTGTGCACCGCTAAAGTACACGGAATCCTGTTACTCATTCAAATGACATTGATTAGATGCAGCACCTAAGATGTTTACAAACCCTTTTAAGTCCGAGAAGTGTGAAAATAAACGCAGGATTACCGGACTCTCGTAAAGGGGCTAAGGGCTTCTTTGAACTTGAAAAAGTCCAAAAGTATTGTAAGCAAGGACGCGATATCATTCAGAGGATTTTCCAAGTGAATTTACAAATGCTACAGTGATACGGTCTGTCAGCTCTCTAAGAAATCTAGAATTAGAATTAGCCAGGCAGTGGTAGCCCACGCCTTTATCCCGGCACTTGGAAGGCAGAGGTAGGCGGATCTCTGAGTTCGAGGCCAGCCTGGTCTACAAGAACTAGTTCCAGGACAGACAGAGCTGTGACACAGAAAAACCCTGTCTCGAAAAAAGAAAAAAAAGAAAGAAATCTTAAATTAGATACTCCTAAAAAGAGAAAGTGGTTAAAGGTCATTCGCTGAATTTTATCAAACAGTTTAACAAAAAAAGCTTTAAAAAATAAAGTGTTTAATGAAGTTTGTGAACTAATGAGAACACGCGGTGCTGGCAGAAATATAAACAGGTGTGTTCACTTAAGGAGTAGCTTGACAGCATCTAATTAAAAGGAAAGGTGTGCTTTAAAGGTTTTAGTCCTGGAGACCTTTCCAAGTCTAAGGAGACACTTCATAAATTGAATCTGGTTTCTGGCAACTTCAGGAGCCAGGGTTATAAAGTTGGAGTAAGGGGCCTGCTACAGTAAGATGCGTTCCTAAACCACACCACCCCTCTTCTTCTGAGGAACACAAAAGAAGGGCGATGGCCGGGCAGTGCTGCAGCCTGTCTTTAACATCATCTGTACCGAGCCAGTCCCTACTCACCTCTTACTTCACCCCGACTCTGCTGCAGTTCCCACCCTTTTCCCTAGCACGCTTGCTTCTTGACCGTCTCCGAATTCCTCTCAATTTGAGGGGTGTTTAGAGCAGGCTTTCTGCTTTGCTCCCTGGTATAAATAGTGTTTTGTGGTAGCTTAGCCTGCTATACAGACAGCACACCACAGAGGAAGGAGAGTAACAGTTGTATTCACACATCAAGACCAGCGTCAGAATCTCTGAGGAACTGCTCAAACACAGGTTTAAATTCTGTAGCTCTGAACCACTGCTAATGAGTTCCCAGAAACGCTGACACTGCTGGTCCGGATCACACTCAGAAACGAATCTACAAGGCTACCCTGGCAGGGACCGGGGCTGGTGGAAGGGGCCGGGGACGGGCACACAGACAGGTGCTCAAAACCTGGGAGTGTGGATGAGCTTTAAGAGTGATAAGCAAGCCGGGCGGTGGTGGCGCACGCCTTTAATCCCAGCACTCGGGAGGCAGAGGCAGGCGGATCTCTGTGAGTTCGAGACCAGCCTGGTCTACAGAGCTAGTTCCAGGACAGGCTCCAAAGCCACAGAGAAACCCTGTCTCGAAAAATCCAAAAAAAAAAAAAAAAAAAAAAAAAAAGAGAGAGAGAGAGAGTGATAAGCAGTGGCTACACAGAGGGAGGAAGCTGGAGAACACCAAAGGCGGCCCCAAGACAGCAAAGTGGCATGGCAGTTGGAGCGTACTAGGCAAAGGGGGCACTCATGTCACCAAAGGGTCTTGCAGATTGGACATGCAAAACGATTCCCGTTTCTTGTTGGTTCAGGTGCAGCAGGGACCTGCCAGTCTGCCTTGTTCTCTTGAATCTTCAGCATGTTTCTCTGGTGTCTGCATTTTGGATTTCTCCATATTGAATTTTTTTTTTTTGGATGTCTGATCTTTGGGGGATTAAATGAAGATTTAAGGAAACAATGGAGTCTTACATGATATAAAATTGATCTTACCGTGATGCTAAAAATTCTCAGTGACAGATTTACACTAGAACGTGTAAGGCCCCTGGTTCAGTCCCCTTCGCTGAAAAAAAAAAGTTGCCCTCTTACACTGCTGTTCAACACACTGTAATATCCTGATGGAGTGACAAGCACAAGCTTTTCAGACCTCCAGAGTCAGCCCTCTCCATCCAGTAGACTTACCATGACTTACCATGCCATGATGCTGCTTCAGAACACCAAGTGCCCCGGGTTCTCAGTCGATGTTTATCTGATGCCTCCTCTAAATGCAACAAAAATCATTGCTGTGCTTAATTAAAGACAGAGACACACTGGTGTTCAAGCTAGCTTTATTTTATTTATTTTTAGGTTTTCGAGACAGGGTTTCCCTGTAGCTTTTAGGACAAGCTAGCTTTATTCTGTGTTAAAACACATGTAATTTTTTTTGTTTGTTTGGGTAGCTTTGTTTATGTGCACTTATGTTGGTTTCTGTGTGTGTGCTTAAGCTAAAGTGTAAATGACCTGGGAGTAAGGTCTTACTCCTTCCCGGCTATAAACCTGAAACTTTGAGGGAATCTCACCAAAACCATAAACTTCCCTACAGTGCAAACATGCCTGAACTCCCTCGTGAGCTATAGTCCTGCCCAGCACTCCTCAGGGACCGTGCCTATGATGGTTATTCTTGACTGTCAGGGCGAAAACATCCCAAATCCCTGGATGTGTGCGCACAACCCTCTCTGCAGCCACCCTATTACACAGTTCATGCTAAAACTTCCTTAAGATTCCTGAGTAGAGGGGTTGGAGAGATGGCTCAGTGGATAAGAGCATTGCCTGTTCTTCCAAAGGTCCTGAGTTCAATTCCCAGCAACCACATGGTGGCTCACAACCATCTGTAAAGAGGTCTGGTGCCCTCTTCTGGCCTGCAGACATGCACACAGACAGAATACTGCATGCATAATAAATAAATAAATGAAGTATCAAATAAATATTTTAAAAAAAAGATTCCTGAGTGAAAACGAGAGCTTCTAAAAACAGTTTCTTCTTCATCTTATTAGGGTCCACTTCATCTGAAAGGCTACAGGTGCAAAAATTAGATATAGGCTTTTTCCTTTCTTTCTTTTTATTTTTTGGAGAGTTTCACTGTGTAGTCTTGGCTGTTCTAGAACTCACCCTGTAGATCATGCTGGCCTCAAACTCACAGAGATCTGTCAGCCTCTGCCATCCGAGTATTCTGGTATTAAAGGCCTGCGCCACCACCACCCGGCGTTGTACATAATTTTAACGTTGTGATTGTCTACAGTTTCAAATACAACACAACCACTTAGTAAGTTCTCAACCCCTTTCTACTTCACACTTTCCTATTTTTATTTTTTTAGAAAATGTGGCCCAGGACTGCTAAGCGAAAGGCAGAACAGCAGGCTGGCTGGTTTGTGGAAGAACCTGACACATCATTACCCTCCAGGAAAGACGCTAATAGAGGAAGGGCCTCACCATGAGGACCTCTTCTGGAGGAGCATGACAAGGGCTGCGGCACAGGGTACCAGAATCAAAACAGGGCAGCAGAAGGAAAAAGAGCTCTCACTTAGAACCTGGAGAGCTTCCTTAAGAAGAACAGTTAAGAGAGAACCATCATGGACAGGATGGCATAATGAGGGACGTCCCAAGAAGAAAGAGAAAATCTTCCAAACAAAGGAGGATATCGGGTTCTTATAATTAGGGAGCGGGGGAGTGTCTTACACCACCTGACTTAGTTTGGGACCGCCTATGTCGACAGTGGAGGAGCCAGACGCTGGGTAAGAATATAAACTGGAGGCTGTAGACCCTCTGCACAAACCACTAGGAAGAGCACTGGGGGTGAGACATGGGGCATCTGATCCTTCAGGCTGTGACTGCCCCCTATGCTGAACAGCTTCTTAAGGGAGCAACAAAACTGATTTAACACCTATTTTCAACAGTTGTACTACGTTGCCCAGGCAAGTCTGGAGCTTGTAATCCTCCAGCCTCAGTCACTATGCCTGGCTTTAGTCATTCAAAACACAGCATACATTTCCACTCACGACTGTACAATAGAAAACCAGAGCAAATTCCTATAAACAAACACCACGATCCTAGGTCGACATTTCTGCTGGCTGGGGAGTCGGCCATCTCCTCTCCTCGTGGTCTCTGTACCGCCCCAGCTGTCCCTAGCTACCACATTCAATCCTGAGCTGCTAGGTTTGTTACAATAAACACCTGTGGCGTGTGCCTTCTGAGTCACTCTTCCTCTCACACATCATGAGCATCTTATATGCCAGGATGTGCGTTTCTTTAAAAGCTTCAGATAATTGTGTTTACATCACAAAGTAAGTTAATGAATCACAACACCAGGACTAGCACATAGCGCTCCTTGATTACTAATTTTCTTAGATTTCCACCAAAATCAGTTTCGGGGAAAAAAAAAGTTACTAATAGCTTTTGATAGTTTCACATGCTTCTAGAGTTATTCAGATGCCATAGTTAGCCAGGAAATAGCAACCGTATCATTCTGGAGTCTTCAGCCATCTAACTGCACCAGCCCCAGAGAAAGCAACTTCATGCAGCTGCTTAAGAGGGGGATCAGGTTGCTTCACTTCAAAGCAATCCACAGTACTCGTGAAGCCTTTCCGAGCAAGAGCCACCACATAGCAAACCCCGTTCCCCAACTCTGGCTCTTTTTCAAGATCTTTCTCAAGACCTTGAGAACAATTTTTTAAAACTAGGTTTTCATTTTGATTTGGTTTTGCTGCTGTTCTTGGGTATGTGTGTGTTTGTGCTCACATGTGTGTGGTGTTTGTAATCCCAGCACTTGGAAGGCAGA